CTTGGCCGCGTCCAACAATCGGATGAAGCAGGAGGCCGATTTAGGACGACGAGATGAGGAGTTCGTAGTGGGAGATTGGGTGCTGCTCAGGTTGCACCCATATAGACAGGTTTCGGTGTTCCGCCGCGCATACCAGAAGCTTGCAGCTCGCTATTTTGGTCCCTATCAGGTGCTTGAGTGGATTGGGGCAGTGGCCTATCGTCTACAGCTGTCGGACACCGCCCAGATCCATTCCACATTTCATGTGTCTCTCTTACGCAGGTACCGGGGAGCTGAGCAGCCGGCGACACCGCCGGAGCCGCCCGTCGATAGGGAAGGATGTCTTGAGCTAGAGCCAGAAGCGTTGCTCAATACACGCTGGCTGAAGCGGGGGAGAAGGCACGTGACGAAGAGCCTCATACAGTGGAAGCATCTCGGACCGGAAGAGGCAACCTGGGAGGATACTGAGACCATTCGTCAGAACTACCCTACATTCGATCTTGAGGACAAGATCGGTTCCGAAGGGGAAGGGAGTGTGAGCGGCAAGGCAGAGGCCGACTCAGCCTAGGGGAGAGGTAGTTGGGTCATTGTTATTAATTGGGGGAGAGCTTTATTTAAACACTAGGTGTGCACTATTTTGCTTATGAATAATCATATCAAAATTATCAAATCTCTAATCTCTCTTCAATTCCCAATTCCCAACCCTAAATTCCCAATTCTCAACTCTAATTCTTCTATTTCTCATCCCTATTCCTGTTCGTAACAACTGTGCTCCCACAGAACCCGTTACAAAAAATGTGCTCGCTTGACTGGTAGTGATGATGGAAATGGTAGCACCTCCTCCGACACTCTGTTACTGATAGTGGAGAGACGGGCCTCCAAGGTTTTTATTTTTATTTTACCAGTCAATCTGGGTGGAGTGTAAATCGGTTTGCATATCTTGTTGCAGGTGAATGAAATTACCAGAAAATGGTCACGTTTTAAGAATAACAAAGTTAGAATTGCTGCTAATACATCACCAATGCAGTACCATGATTAGACCGAGATTACATCTGATACTCGTCTGACTGTTCAATAAAAGAAAAGAAGCTGCCCTAATCAATCACCAATCCATAGCCCTACAACAGAAACATACCCTCTTACTTATGTACACAGAACATTCCCAAGTGCCGCACATACATAAAACGAAGCCCAACTACCCAGGCCCACCTCTTCTTGCCCAGGCCCAAAAGAACCAATCCCTCCTGCTGCAGTTACTCAAACAAGGTGGAACAGTACAGAAACCACGAAACACGTGGCCACAACCATCTGTTGAACCGTCAACCCCACCAATCTGGCCGACACGGACGACGACGACGCCTTCACCACCGACTTCTGCTCCAACATCTTCGATCCCTCCACCGGATAGCTGCACGTCTCGTAGCCTGCCACCACCGAACAAAAACAAATTCAAACAATTAGGAAAACTAAATTAATTATTTTGCTTTCGATTAGGATGGTGAGATGACTCGACTCGAGAGTGTACTTGGATCGGAGGAGGTGAGGACTCCGGTGTGCTCGAAATCACAGTTGTACACCTGTCGACCGTGGCTCTGGTAGTAGGCGTTCATCGCATACGACGCGTGTGAGCGCACTGTATTTGGGCTGAAACAGGGCCCGCCTGACTGAATGGGCCTGCAGTCCACTCCCAAGCTGCACACGTAGTCCAGATTCCTCTGCAACGCCTCGTCGCTGGCCTCCGGTCTCGGCACGCACCACTTCTTCTCCGCGGGGGCAGGGCTGTCGCCGGACGGCGGTGCCTTCCCTGGAGTCCCGCCGTTCGCCGGCGCCTGTGCCTGGTTCATTATTATTATTATAAACATAAAGGATAACCCAAATCAACGGTCCTGATTCATTTATCATTTACTCCGTTGCCGTCTTGCGTGGGAGGTGGAATATCTTCCGCCTCGAATATCGAGCGGGAAAGCATAAAGACACCTGTACCCTCGAAGAAGGAAGGCTAATTAATCCTATATTGTGAGTCTATTTTGGACATTTGATAGTGGGGGAAAAGCCACAGCAACGGCTAGAAGCTGGTAGATAAAATGTCAGAAATCCCTAATCAGAATAAAACAAACCCAGCACATAGTAGCAGGGTGAGATTCACGCGCCACCGCCACATCTGGATTGTTCTTATCTTGTAAGAAAATCCACCGGTAATCTATCGGACTTCCATTTTGGGGCTTACTAATGCTAAACAGGAAAACGAAAAGGTGTGATTCATGAAAAGGGTTCAGGAATCATACCGGCGTGCTGCGCATAACACCGACGTCGTAGACCGGGGAGAAATCCGGCTTGAAAAGTCCGTAATTCCGCTCTGAGACAGAGGCTTTCAGATTCTCGTTGAACAGAGCGAAGATGTAAGTCTCGAAAGTCCGATTGGGCATCAGCGGCGTCCCTTTACCGGAGTTCACGTGCTTCACCACGTTCCCGTTGTAGGACAGAGCATTCGCCAAGCTGACGCCGGGCTGGTTCGGGTCACCCGCCGACGGCCAACCCGTCTCCGCGATCACGATCTCGACGCCCTCGTAGTTCCCTAGCTTCTTCATCGCGATGTAAATGGCATCCATCTGCTCGTCGAACATGTTGGTGTAGTTCTTCCTGGTGGCCCTGTCGTAGAGGCCACGATTGGGCCGGAACACGGCGTAGTCCAGCGTCTCGGCCCGGAACCCAAAGAATGGGTACGGGTTGACCATGAAGGGGGTCTTGGTCCGGTTGTGGAAATCGAGGATGGGGCGGAGGATCGCGGCGTCGAACCGGCGGAACATGCCAGTGCTGGGCGGCTCGGAAGCGGCGAGGAATGAGAGCGCGTGTGGGGTGGAGACCCTGATGTCGGTGAGATTGGCGAGGTGGAGGGCGTGGTGGAGGGTCTTCATGGCCGGGAGCGTGTAGGCGATGACGGTCTTGTCTTTCCAGTAGAGCACCTCGTTGCCGACGAGGATGTAGCGGATGGTGGTCTGTGGGTGGAAAGGGAGGATGTTGTTGGCGATCCAGGCTTGGGCGGCGGGGAGCTTGGCGAGGGAAGGGACGTCGGCGTTGGCAACGGTTACGGTGACGGAGATCCCGGTGTTTGCGAAGGCGCGGAGGACGTCCGGGTTGGCGTCGAAGATCTTGATCCGGTCGATTGTGGTGTGGGTTTTGAGGAAGTCGGCTACTTGGGCCGGCGGAGGGAGGTTGTCGGCCCAGAAACCGTAGTTTACCCCGATGGAGTAGGAGGCGGCGGCGATGGCGGTGGATGGAGCGAGGAGGATGTGAAGGGAGAAGAAGAGGAGGAAGAGGGGAGTTTTCTCCATTGTCGAAGAAGTTCGGAGGGCAGGGTTGATTGAAGAGTGGGAAGGAGAGATAGAGAGAGGGATATTGGGATTAAGGCTTCGTGATGGGATTTAGGAGCTGGCTGGAATCTGTATGACTGTGTGGGAAAGGAAGGAAGGAAGGAGGCGTACGTTGTTGGGAAAAGAATTGGGGGAATGGAATTGACTGGAAGACGATTGGGAGAGTAAATAAGTAAGTGGGGGCACTCTTCCCCTCTCACGAGAGACTTTTGCTTCTCAGATTTATGATTATGGATTATAAATTAATATATTATTTTAAAATTAATTATATATTTTTTTGTTTATTATAAAAGTTTATCAGTTAATAACTTTAACATTAAAAAAATGAATTGAAAATAATAGCAATACGAAAAATAGTTACTTTTATCCATAAAAAAATAATTAGTTATTACTTTTAATTTTAAAAGCTTGGAAGTTGAGTGACAGAAAAAAAATTAGGGCATTAATTGGAAAAACACATAGTTGAGAGAGTTGATTGTGTATTAACTCTAAACTTTACAAATGAAATGTTCTTAACAGTTTAGCATAGGATCTACAAATTGTATGTTAATATGCTCTTTATACAAAAATACCTGAAATTAAAAAGTAAATCATAGATGTTGGGCTATATTTACATGAAGTATACTTTGTTTGAAGTGGGTGTGGCAAGAGCAGGGTTCAAAAAAATGTAATTGCTAGTACACCTAGGCGCTAAGTAGCAATAAAATGCTTCGTTTAGGCTCTACGTAAATAATAAGGCGTTTATATTGTCAGATAGAGTTTAATGTGATTAATCGAAGTGAGACACTTTTAACCATATTAACAGAAGAAAATTAAATTAATTTGTAACCAATTTTTCCAAAACAACATCTACCCTATATTCGGCTCAGATTCTTTGCTCTACTCTTCCCCATTATCAACCCCAGAGCATCCACTAACCCCTATAATGATTAAGCATATATTTGGACAGGACTACAAAGAAGAAAGGGCCTTTTGAGTTTGTAGTCCATAGACTTTGGTCGAATGCAACAATGTTATTCCCCAATCCATGTGGCCCAAAAGGGGATAAACGGGTGTGTCTGCCATGTGCATTCTTTAGCATTTGTGTGCCGTTGCAATGCGCTAGAGAATAAAAAAAAATTTATATAGCTTCGTACGCATCTACGGCGGGGGAATCGAATCGTTGCTGCAATGAACGTCTTGTGCTGGTTTTATGTGTCAATTTTGTTATCCTCTAGGCAACTCAATTTTTTTAAAAAGCACACACGCTAGTTCATAGGAGGAATGCGGTGATAATTTCATAAATTAAATATTATCGTGCACATTTATTATTTACAAAAGCACATTGTTTATTTCAACATTATCTAGTTTTATGAATATATTTTCACGAATGAACGCTGAACACCATAGTCGAATTGATATTATATGAGCTCAACCAAGTGCAATTAAAATGAGAAGTACTAGTTAACGCCCTAGGTTTTTAAAATGTATCGCCCTAACTTTGCAATTTGACGTTTTATACATAAGTTAATTATATATACCTAATACCACCATAAAACGGGTGAAGCCCATAACAATTTGGGAACTCTTGAAAGTGGGTCAAGCCCATCCTTCCCAAATTCCGTTATTTTTCCCGGCTACCCAAAACTAAAAAAGCAAAACAACAAATATAATTGAATTAACAATTCATTTCCATCCCGTAACCCCAACCCAATGTTTAGGGATGGCAACAAAACCCGAACCCGCGGGTACCCAACCTGGTCAACATGGGTAAAACCCGTGTTAACAAGGTTTGGGCTTAAACCCGTTCACTATTCACCGGGGTTGGGTTTGGGTTTAGGTAAACCCGCCCCACGGGTACCCGCCCACACTCATATAATTAATTTTTCCGGTACATTTAATATTCTAAACAACTCATCTTTTTTATGTTTGTGGAGACATGTCTAATTTTTTCTTTCTAATTGTGTATAATGAAGACGCTTTCAATTAATCATGTTGTTTATGGTTAATTTGTGATTTGCTTCAATTTTCTTGAGTTTTCTAGATTGGTGTTGAACAATTTGTATGATTAATTTCTGATTTGCTTGAATTTTCTAGAATGGTGTTTTATATATGGATAATTTGTATTGAGAGATTGATATTTGACTTTTATTTTGATAGGAACTTGTTATTGTAAATTTTTTAGGACAAAAAAACCATGGGTACCCATGAACTCGCGGATACTGTCACGGACATAGACTTCGACCAGTTGTGCCTTCTCTTGCAATGATCCCCTTCACAGCCACATCCTGACTCGGCCAGAACGATGCACAGGCAGACAACGTCTTATCGCTAATGTCGCCCCCTTTACCCCTCTCGTGGCAAGACGACCAGATGGCAGCGTTCTTCAGACGATCAACACGGTCACGACATTTCGGGTCGTGACATTCTCCACCACTTATAATGCAGCACATCCTCGTGCTGGTGAAGAATGCTTCTCTCCGCAGCATGTATTGCAACACTTGAACCGATTGTGGGCGTCCGCATACGATATCATCCTCTGATGGACAAGCTCCGGTCGCGTCTCTCGCGCTAGCCTGCTGTGCCCCGTGCACATACCGCTTCGCCTCGACATCAACCTTCACTCTTTGCTTCTACTGCGCTAGTACCTCAGTCGACCTTCACCCTACGATACTCCCAGCGTTTGTACCTCAATCGACCTTCACCCTACGCTCTAGCTAGCGTTAGTTCCTCGGTTGAATGACATTCTCGGTTGCTGCATCTTCAGCCTGTCGAGGTCCCCCACAACGCGCAACACATGTGAATCTGCGTCCGGACCGCCTGATATGCACACCCACGACCGCCTCTCATTCGGGCATAGGTTCGTCCCATACTCGAGATATGTCATACTGAAAAAGGAACTAGGCTCTTCAGCCTAACCAGGTTCCGATACCACTTGTCACGGACATAGACTTCTGAAGTCTGTGCGGCGTCTTGAGGTGCACTCCTTCCTCAAGACCAGCCTCTCTGCATACGCATGCCAACTGGTTTCAACCTTCCTTGGGCTCATCAGGGAGACGGCAATAGCCTCCGACCAGTTGTGCCTTCTCTTGCAACGATCCCCTTCATAGCCACATCCTGACTCGGCTAGAACTATGCACAGGCAGACAATGCCTTATCTCTAATGTCGACCCCTTTACCCCTCTCGTGGCAAGACGACCAGATGGTCATGTTCTTCAAACGATCAACACGGTCACGACGTTTCGGGCCGTGACAATACCCAGCGGGTTGGGTTTGGTTTGATTTTTTCAAACCCAGTGAATTTTACCCCGGGTTTTTTTCACGGATAAACCCATGGGTTTGGGTTTGGATTTAGGTTTGACAAAACCCGACCCAACCTGACCCATTGCCATCCCTACCAAAGCTGCTTGCAACCGTCCCCTCCCTCCGTCTCTCTCTCTCCATCTTATCCCTATCCCTCTCTCCTCTCCTCCTTCTGGCTTCCTTCTCCAATTGAAATTTCAAACCCCTCTTCTTCTCCATTAAAATCCATGCCCTAATTGTTTATTCTCTCCCTCGTACGGAAGGATGATTTAAGAGTACTGGAATTATAGAATAATTCAGACGAAGATGATGCATCGAGAAAGAATAATGAGGACGAAGAAGCAAAAGGGTTTCTTGATCCAATGTTTGAATCCCTAGAGCTGAAGTTTTCCTTCTTATTTCTTCTCTCTAGCCATCTTTGCTATCTAAGAAGACCATTTGGTGCATCCCTCTTCTATGATTGTTTCTCTATACTCGTTGCATGAAGGGACATAGCTTTGCTATGACTCGCACGAAACTACACCACAATTAAACCCCAATTAGAGCCCAAGTTTTTAAACTCTAATCGAGTGTAGTATAGGCCAAGTATCTTTATATCGACCCAAGCCGATCCTTCTACCCCTACTTTGGTTGTTGAAATCATTATCTAGCGATACAACTTTGGTTTAAAGGTTTGCCAATTGAAATGAAAGAAAACAAAGGTACTTTGGTTTGAAAACTCTTTTGTGGGAAAGTCACTTGGGTTTCGCTTCCCCCTAACCGCTACCATGCTACGTGGGTTGGAACGATTACATTGGGCACATTAATTAATAGGAGCCTGGGGGTGTATTTTATCAAAGTAATGCAGCAAACAATCAATCCGAAGATTGATTGAACTCGAATCAAGAACAACGCGTTCTTAATACGAAATTGGGATAAAACGGAACCAACGGACAATTCCACACCTGGGGAAAGCTCGTATGGTATAAAAGGGTATCTGCTCGACCACTATTGAATAGGATATTCAATCGATACAAAGCTCACAAGCTTGGAATCCACCAAACTAAACAAGTCGCAACTTGCACAAAACCAAAGGGTTTGTTTTTCGATTAATCAAAGTCTCCTGTTTTTACAACGTAAATAGAACAGTATTTAAAGGAAAATAAAACCTAATACAATCCTAATAGAAATAGGCAACAATTAAGGTAAAAGTATACACTAAAAAGGACACAAATTCGGGTTTAAACTCTCTTTCTTGAAGCACAAGTAAGCTGCCAGCAAAACAGTCAAAAGACAGATTTCATACTAACTTCACGCCAATTTGTTCCAAGCCTTCCCGAACTCCATTCCTTCATCCAATTCCTTCCCTTTGTACATAAACATACCTAGTTTCATGTTGTGGAAGCCCTTTTTACTTGAATCCCCTCCATGCTCCTTGAATTGAGCTCCAAAGTAGTCTTCACAAAACAGTTTTCTGCCTTAGCCATTTTCAGGCAGTTTTCCAGTTCTGAGGTAGCAAATTTGAGACCTTGGAAAACAACCTTAATGACATCTTCTGGATCCAAAAACCATACCATTGGAAACATGGAAACTTTATCTTTAAAACAAGCTCTTGATCTCCAATTTCCATTGAGCCATTTGTGAGATACAAGCTTCCAAAGTAAGCTACCTGAAACTATTTCAACACTTAGCCAAAAGTCAGAATTCTTCAAATGAGTTGAGATGACTTCTTTGGAAAGCAATTGTGAATTGTGGATTGATCCAATTGGGATCATATCAGGCTCCCCCTCTTCAAAAAGCTTTGACCTCAAAGCTTGAAGCTGCTTCTTGTCAAAAACGTCACAAAATTCTACCCAAATCGAGTCACGAAAGTGGTACGCTGAACTTGCAATTTCTAAGTTCAAATCATCGTCGAATTGTGATCTTGCTGCTGTTTGCCACGATTTGAGTTTTTCCACCATCGTGGGGCTCCAATGGACCTTCCCCACGCAAAAAATGTGCAAAATCGAACCCAGAACTCGTTCTCCCAAATTTCCACTTTCCGGCGACGACAAGAATTCTGGCGACCTCTTCCAAATTGAGTCGTCTCAGCTTCTCCGTCTTCGGCAATACCAGTTGTGTCGGACCTATGTTTTCTTTGCGAAAAACAGGGTTCTTCAGGTCCGACCATAATTTTCATTGATTCTCCTCTTGGAGACAATCGTGTTGAAAACAATTCCATACGATACTCCTTCTGGAGTCTTATTACCTCCTTTAAATCTTTGGCCGCTTCTTCTGGGAACAATGGATTCAATACGGGTACTTTGCTTCGAATCTTCAAGCGGAATTTCTTGCTCCTTCTGCTTACCAGCCGAACTTGTCGATCATGAAACCAAGGCTGTCCCAAAACAATATGGATGGGCAAGTTGTAAACCACATCACACAGTACTCTATCTTTATATGAACCAATCGAAAAGTCCACAACCACCTGAGAAATCGCGAAACTTGGGTATTTTTCGTACGGTAATTGGACGTTGTAGGGGGCTGGATGTAGCTGTGATTGCAGCCCCAACTTGACCACTGTTCTGGAGGAGATTAAATTTCTCTCCCTGCCTCCATCAACGAGAACCAAACACACTTTCTCATCGATTAAACAACGCGTGAAGAACATCGATTCTGCTAGCTCTTCTGCCGAAATTTCCATCTTGTTTGACGCGCAGAAAACAGAGTCGTCAAGAACAAACCGCCACCAATTTGAACCAAACTCTGATACCATTTATTACCACCCTGGGGGTGTATTTTTATCAAATTAACGCAGCAAACAATCAATCCGAAGATTGATTGAACTCGAATCAAGAACAAAGCATTCTTAATACGAAATTGGGATAAAACGGAACCAACGGACAATTCCACACCTGGGGAAACCTCGTATGGTATAAAAGGGTAGCTGCTCGACCACGATTTATGAGGATATTCAATCGATTCAAAGCTCACAACCTTGGAATCCACCAAACTCAACAAGTCGCAACTTGCACAAAACCAAAAGGTTTGTTTTCGATTAATCAAAGTCGCATGTTTTTACAATGTAAATAGAACGGTATTTAAAGGAAAATAAAACCTAATAAAATCCTAATATAAATAGGCAACAATTAAGGTAAAAGTCTACATTAAAAAGGACACAAAATTCGGGTTTAAACTCCCTTTCTTGAAGCACAAGTAAGCTGCCAGCAAAACAGTCAAAAGTCAGATTCGTACTAACTTCACGCCTTTTGTTCGAAGCCTTCCCGAACTCCAATCCTTCATCCAATTCCATCCCTTTGTACATAAGCATACCTAGTTTCATTTTGTGGAAGCCCTTTGACTTGAATGCCCTCCATGCTCCTTGAATTGAGCTCCAAAGTAGGCTTCACAAAAACGTTTTCTGCCTTAGCCATTTTCAGGCAGTTTTCCAGTTCTGAGGTAGCAACTTTGAGGCCTTGGAAAACAACCTTAATGACATCTTCTGGATCCAAACACCATACCATTGGAAACATGGATACTTTATCTTTAAAACAAGCTCTTGATCTCCAATTTCCATTGAGCGATTTGTGAGATACAAGCTTCCAAAGTAGGCTACCTGAAACTATTTCAACACTTAGCCAAAAGTTAGAATTCTTCAAGTGAGTTGAGATGACTTCTTTAGCAAGCAATTGTGAATTGTGGATTGATCCAATTGGGATCATATCATTAATTTTGAACCACAAAGGAAAGCGTATGTGGTCGGGGACCACAGTCTCGATTGCTAAACCGAGGTGAGGATGAAAGGTCATGCCACTCGACCCTCTCGGTTTAGACAATCGGTAATTGGCTTGCTTCCTCACTCAACTCTAAGGTCGGAAGGTTTAACCACGATTAATCAACGTGTTCCATTCAATATCGAGGATTGCCCTAACTCAACCTAGTTTAGGTGGCTTGGAAAATGAAAGGAAAACTAACTCGATTGAGTCTCCCTTAGAAAGGAGGATTTTCCTCTCTAAACTAGGCTACGTTGACAAATTAGATTATTAGCACCTAAATGCACAAACTTAGGGGGTGCTAAGCACAATTATGCACAATTCCTAGGATGTTAAGCACAAAATATGCATAACCCCTAAGTTGCTAAGCACAAGCATGCAAAATCATGATGAAAAATACCTCAAACATTAAATTGAGCAATGCCCAATATCCATCATCCAACCCACTTACAAGAAAACTACATGGTAGGGTTTAGGGTTTCACTACACCCAAGTGGGAGGAGGATTACTCCATGGAAGAAGTGGAAAGAACAAAGGGGGAAAAGGTGGAAACCATCTTTTGGGGATGCCTCCTCTCTTCTTCAACCTTGAGCTGGAATTTCCTTGGGGAAATCTTCCCAAAACCTCCTTTGAAGCCAAGCCCTAACCTCTTCTTCTCTTTGGTTATGTTTCTCTCACTAAAATGCAGAAGAAGGTGTTTCTCTCACAAAACTGGCTCCCCCTTCTCTTTCCTTGCAACTCAGCTTTTAAACCCGAGAAGAGCTGAGTTCACGGCCGTGAACCATCAAACAAGTCCGTGAACTCACGCCTTGTGCCAAAACGCTCCGCATCGATCAAGGCAGTTCACGGGCAACTGCTTGTGTTCACGGTCTTAGTGACCGTGAACTCTCCTTGCGTCAGTAACCTTTCCTTCTTCACGGTCTTGCATGACCGTGAACTCCTGCCTTTAGCCGTGAACTTGCGTTTTTTCACCTCTTCTCCCGGTTTTCGATCCTTTTCGCCAATCCTTCGACTCCGAGGCTGGTTCCACCTGTTAAATCCTGAAAATCACTCAAACACGAAGAACCTCGCGTAAAACCAACCTCTAATGAGAGAATTTGGCACAAACATCTAAGCAAACCGGGGGCAAAATATGTGCAATTAGGCCCGAATCACTCCCCCACACTTAGAGGTTTGCTTGTCCCCAAGCAAACCATTTCACGCACACGGTAATATTTCAACCTACACAAATGCTTTGGGGACAACTCAAAGGACACGAAGTGAGAATTCTCGATGTTTATTGACAATTAACACATGAACCGTTGCAAGCAACACCGACATCCACCACAAACAACATTCAAAGCCACCAAAATGGGCAAACGAAAAGTTCTCAACTTATTCATGGATAAATGCAAGTCTCAACAAAACCACTTATCGAACAAAACCAACCATGCATGGAATTCAAGTCCGAGGAACAAATGGAAAGGCAACAAAGGTCCTCACCAGGGTATGATATGACATGTAAAGCAAGAATGAATCGCTCACTCTCAAGACCAGTGGGGTCGGGACCTTTTTGGTGCAAAAGATGTGCAAAATCGTAACCTCTTGGCCCTATTGTCTCAATACCACGTCCCTATTGTCACCACTAGCTCGTCCGGAGGTCTTAGACACGGTTTCATATGACTGGCGATTGGCGTGGACATGGGGAAAAAGGTTTTTTTTTTTGGGTGGTGGTAATCATGACGTGAGGTTCTACATCTTCAACCTAAACCCGAAGGGTCTATGGTTTCGACTAAAACCCTTCTCTTCAATAAAAGCCCACTAGCATCAGCCAAAACCCTTATCTCTCCTTTCCAACTATCACCAATCATGAACTACCTTGAAGCACTCTTCCCCAGTCAACTCTTGCTAGTTCTTTAAGATTTGGTAGTGAAAGAGTTCTAAACAATGTGGGAGTTTCGATGGCTTGGGTGCCAAGAAATTAGGGATGGCAATGGGTCGGGTTGGGGCGGGTTTTGTCAAACCCAAACCCAAACCCATGGGTTTATCCGCCAAAAAAACCCAGGGTAAAACCCCCTGGGTTTGAAAAACTCAAACCCAACCCAACCCGCTGGGTATCCGCGGGTTCATGGGTACCCGTGGGTTTTTGTGGTAAAAAATTTACAATAACAAGTTTCTTTCAAAATAAAAGTTTTAACATTAATTTTCTCATATAAATTATTCATACAAAAAACATCAATCTAGAGCATACAAGCAAACCGCAAATGATCAATACAAATTGTTCAAAATTAAAGATAAACATCTATAAACAATAAGATTAATTGAAAGCTTCTTACTCGTCAACTAAATTTCTTCACTCTCCACTTCATAATATCAACTTCATTCTAAATAATTAGAAACAACAAATTATATATGTCTCCACAAACATAAAGAATATTAATTGTTTAAGGAAGATATATTATTTAGAGTATTAAATATACCGGGAAAGTAATTATATGTGTGTGGGCGGGTACCCATGGGGCGGGTTTACCTAAACCCAAACCCAACCCGACCCGGTGAATAGTGTAACGGGTTTAAACCCGAACCCAGCCCAACACCCGTCAACACGGATTTTACCCGCGTTGACCGGGTTGGGTCGGGTGGGTACCCGTGGGTTCGGGTTTTGTTGCCATCCCTACAAGAAACCCCTTCCCAGAGCATGTACTTTGGTATTTCGTGGCACTCTCTACTTTATTTACCCTATTTTATTACCTTTTTTGTTTCTCTTTTTTTCTTTTTGAGGGGGGTATTAGAGAGTAAAAACACTTGCCACCTAAACATTTATCGATTAATGCTCTCCTTTTGAGGAACTACAGCACTACACTCCATTTTGCACTCCTAGCAAGAACCACACATGAACATCCTATGTAGAACCTCTATGGAAACTCAACGGTAAGAGTTCCGGAACACACGGGCGACTCATGTTTGGACACGAAGAAAGGATTTGGGGGTCGTTCTTTTAACACCTTTAAGCTCACACGAACAAAGCTCCTAAACTGAGAATGACCCACGGAGTCACACTGCTCAAAGGGGTTGACTAAGGGATGATGCATCTCGGGACAATCAACTTTTGCGGCGTGGACTAATCCTGTGCCTCCATCATACTTGCTAGTATTAACTTGTGATGCTACACACCATGGTAAGAGGGAACTATCACACCGAAAGAAACGAACGGATCAAATCTCACAGGCTACCTAGTTACCCAACCATCTATTCCAATTCATAAACACGATGAATGGCAATTGTAAACAACAAGTGATCAAGTCAAGACCTTCATTCATTTATGTACACTTTGAGAACTAAACTCTTGACCTATCCTAATGAACTTCTCAGTCATCATCATAGGATATACTCAATCACATGCACAGTTCAAGATTAATGCCACAAACACGAGAATTTCCCACCATCCGGTCACTTTGAACATGCAAACGTTGCTTGGAGCCCTCAAAATTTTGAAATTTGGGCATACAAAAGGCTCCAAGCAACACCTCACTCACACAAGCACACTAGAAGACTACCCCCCCCCCCCCCCAACTTAAACTCGGCATTGCCCTCAATGGCGTAAGAAAGGGGTAGAGTGATGTTACCAATTGAGCTTGGTGAGTGAATGTAGGAATCGAACCGAGGTAGGATAATTGAAGCTTCAAGGACAGACAACAAAAAACACACACAAGTACAATACGACTCGCTCGAGGCGAGGTTATTACAAGCACAATACATAGTAGTAGTAGTTCATGTCACACAGACAAATAACAAAAAAAAAAAAATTAAACAAGTTTAGGGTTACAAGTAGATAAGTGGGGCGAATGGACTCCGCTCTGCCACATGTCTCTCTCGTCGGCTACCTCTCTCTGGTGGATGGACCCTCTCCATCATCGGGTATGATACCCTTATGTCGACCCATGCGCTCGAGGATGTCAGACTGTCGCTTGAGGCGGGATGAGAATCCCAAGAAGCCCGTCTCAAGGCGATCCACCCTCTCGACGAGGGGATCGCCTGCTCCTGGTTGTGGTGGCTGTTGTGCAGAGCAGGGGAGCGCTGGACACTGGCGGCGGCCGGGTGCACGAGCCGGCGACTGCTCTACTGCTGGAGGGACCTCAGGGTCAGGCTCCACTAGAGCTGGTGCGACTGTAGCTCGGATGACTCTGAAGGGTCGGAGTCCATCGAGGTACTCCACTCCTCTCTCGCCCTGGAGTACCAACTTCTGGTAGTACATAGTCTCCACTGGGAAGGGCTCCATCCTTCCTGCACTGGTGCAGCGAGCCAGATCCACTTAGAACTGTCGGGCTATCCTTGTGATGATGCCCCCCATATGCATCGTGTCCACTCTGTTCCGCCCCATATCGGGCGAAAGAGGTGGAAATCAACGATCCTAGATGGATCGGCTCAGCTGGACTCCTCATCGAGTGGAGGGCAATGAGCCCTCCGTTCGTTATCAAGTGGCCTGACTGGAGGCTGGGGACGACGGATATAGTGAGCAGTGTATGAAGAATCCTCCACTGGGTCTTCAGTTTGATAGCCTTGGTCTTGCTCCCATCGAACTCGCTCTGCTCGTGCTCTGGGCGGCAGAGGGCTCTAAATACGCTCTGATAGTTGAATTCGACCGTGTACTGCCGCTCTGTCATCGTCATGTGAGCGGTTTCGAGCCCCATGGCCTGATCGAAGCCATCATAGGTCAGCACTCGCGGCTGACCGCCCAGCATGAACTCCACCCGGGGCCGGCTCTTCTTGCTTGCGGAACGATGTGGGAGAAGGTGGAGTAGAACTCCACACACAGCTCATGAAAGATCTCCCAGTCCATGGTCAGGAGCTGGCGCCACTAGGATGGGAGAGTACCCTAGTCATGGCGGCTCGGCACCTGAACAAGTTAATCATGTCCAGGTCCAGCCGCTAGTGAGGCCCGATCATGCTGTCACTCTAGTAGGCGAAGTTGTCGCCAAACTCCGGGTGGTTCACCAGGTAACTGATGAACTCATGCTCCAAGTTAAGCATCCTGTAGAAAAAAAACACACACACACACACACCATACGTGGACACATCCGTCATATACCGCTCATTGGAAGGAAAAGGAATTCCTTCCCACACTTGTTTTTCCACAATGACTAAAACATTTAAGCTCAAACCACCGTGGCATGGTTGTGGGTATTTCATGGTTCAAGCACACAAAAATTAGAGCCACAACCCCTACCACGGTGGCTACCATCCACCAATCAAAAACAAACTCCACTTGCGTTCATAACATAACACTTGGTGGGCAAATTCTATAAATAAGCACAATTCGGTTCAAACACGCCCACCAAGGCTCACTAAGCTCATGAAATAATCAATCCATCAATCACACGACCTAATTCACCTAAGTCCTCGCCCTAACTAGATTCAATCATGCCAAGCACAAAAATTCAACCTCACTTTACTACATAATCCGATTCTCCACAATTCACAAAGGTAAAGATGAAAAACAAACCTGGAGACTCAAGTAGGACAAGAGAGGAAGTGAGGTGCGGGCGAGGACGGTGAAAAACTGGTAGGAAAATTGACCGGAGATGGGTCGCCGGAGCTTCGTCGGAAGCTCGCCGGTGACTTGGCCGGAAAAATGTGGTCCAAATCTCCCCAAATTCACAGCACAGGCCGGTTTTGAGGAGAGGGGACTAGTTATGACGTTGGTTTTTGGTTTTGCTCGGCGGATTTAGGGGGAAAATCGAGAAAGCAACGGGATATCGCGTTTTCCGGCGAAGATTCAAAATTTTCTGGCGAGTTTTTGGTCGTGAAGTGAAGGCTCGTCGTTCACGCCCCTTTTATAGGCAGAGCTCTGAGTTCACGGACGTGTTGCCCAGTTCACGGTCTTAGCGATCGTGAACTCGTGAATGCGTCCGTGAACACGGAGTGGTTGACAGGTGGTGAACATGCATTAGCGCCCAGTTCACGGACGCGTTTGCCTGTTCACGGTCTTAGCGACCGTGAACTCAGCAATCCGTCCGTGAACTCAAGTGAAAACAGGGCACTTCTGCAAAAATTTTGACTCAACCTATTCCTCCGTGCCTCCTAATCGATCACAACACAACCATAAACCGCAAAAACACAACACTCGGCATGGGGACACCACTTCACCACTCAAACCCTTCACAAGACACTAAAACGAAAACTAAGGAATAGAAAACAAACCTTCGTTGGGTTGCCTCCCAACAAGCGCTTGTTTATCGTCATTAGCTTGACGGTTGGGGATCAATCACGAGTTCAAACGTGATGCCACCGAGAGCGGATCCACCACACTCTCAGGGCGAGGCTTGTAGCCTCCCATCTTAGACTCATTGAGTTGGCCCTCTTGGTTCACCTTGCTCCGGGCTCCCCCGTCTTCCGGGTCAAAGCTCTCTTCATCCTTCTTCCCAAAGCATTCAATATTGGTCCTTTTGGCTTAAGACCCTTATTAACTTCCTGCTCAACATCATCAAAGACAACACAAGTAATGGTGTGGGTTTTCCCTTAGGAGGCTCTCCTCCACTCTCATTCACATAATTTGAGACTACCCCCTTCACTTCATCATTCCTCACCTTAGGATCATTCAAGTTTGATTCTCTCCATACAATCTCTCAAAATTAGGCTTCCCTCATTGACATCTATCAATGCCTTGGCGGTTGCAAGAAAGGGACGACCGAGGATGAGGGGCATATCCGAGTCCTCACTTATGTCGAGAATCACGAAATCAGTCGGATAGCAAAACTTGCCCACTCTCACCATCATGTCATCCACTATGCCTTTCGAGCTAATGACCGAACGGTCGACTAAGGTGATGCTAAGCTTAGAGGTCTTAAGTTCACCTACTTCTAACTTTTTGAAAAGCTTGTAGGGCATCACATTCACACTAGCTCCTAGGTCTGCCAAGGGATTGTCTATATGGTGATCACCAATATCAAGAGGGATAGTAAAGCTACCTGGGTCGGACCTCTTTTTGGGAAAGTGGTCGAGGAGGAAAGCCGAGCACTCCTCGCCAAGAGTTGCATTGGCGAGACCTTCAAGCCTTGGCTTCTTGATGAGGAATCCTTTGAGGTACTTGGCATATCTTGGCATTTGCGCCATGGATACGAGGAATGGGACATTGAGGTGGAGGATGCGTAGCATTTCCATGAACCCTCCACACTCGTTGTCCAACCTCTCCTTGTACATCCTTGTGGGATAAGGAAGAGGTGGCACATATCCATCCTCCGGCAATGCCTTCCTTGCCACCTTCCTCTCATTCCTCGAGGGCTTCTTCTCTCTCCTTTTCGGGGTGGTCTCTTCCTTGTTTGACTCTTCCTTCTCTATTTCTTCTCCCGTGGCGACCTCCAGAACCACCTTCACACTCCTCACTTGAAGTGCACTCACCCCGGCTTGATCCATGGGGTTCACCACGGTTTGGGAAGGTAAGGCTCCCTTGGGTCTCTCGGTGAGGATACCGGCAAGGTTGCCGATTTGCACCTCCAAACTTTGAAGGCTTGCTTGATGGCTTCGGAGACCCGCCTCAACCAAGGTAAACTTGGTAGTCGCCACATTCATTAATTGCTCAATTAATCTTCTCGAATTTTTTGCTACTCGTACTCACAAAGGTGTTCACTAGGTCCTAAAGCTTGGATAACTTGTCGGGTTGATGTTGTTGTTGAAAACCTAGGGCTCCTTGTGGTTGGTACGGTTGTTGAAAGTTTGAGCCTTGGAGTTGGGGCCTTTGTTGGATGAAGGTTGGCCGAGGTTGGAAGTTCCCCGTGGGGCCTTGGAAACCCGGGGGCCTTGGATTATCCGGTGATGCCCAAGAAAAGTTGGGGTGGTTTCTCCATCCGGGGTTATAAGTATTGCTATACGGGTTGTTGACCCTAGCATTTGCCACAAAGTTGACTTGCTCCTTCGGAGTGGTTGCCTCCTTCATTGCTTGGCACTCCGCTATCTCGTGGCTAGTACTCGAGCACCAGACGCACGACATTACCGCCCATTTTCCTTGCCTTTTATCTTCAAGCATAACCTCAAGCAACTTATCCAACTTTGCCTCAAGCGGAGCACTCGCTCCCACGCTTCTCACTCCCCTTTCATTGCTTCTTCTTCCACTTCTAGTCAACCCCCAATCATACCCCCTAAAGGCCATGTCTTCTAGGATCTCGGTAATTTGGGGTGGAGCCATATTCATCAACTTCCCCTGACATAAGGAGTCGATGAGGACTTATCTTCTTGCATTAGGCCTCCGTAGAAGGTTTCAATCCGAAACTGTTCCTCAAACCCGTGGTGGGGGCACTAAAGAAAGTAATCGGAGTACCTCTCCCAAGCATCCCTCAAGGTTTCGTCCTCTTCTTGCTCGAAATGTGTAATCTTCTTTCTCCACTCCGTTGTCTTCAGGAGCGGGAAATAACGAGCCATAAACTTGTTGAGGAGGTTGTCCCATGAGGTGATGGACCGAGGTGGGCGGTTGTTTAGCCACCTAAGTGCCTTCCCCGAGAGTGAGTATGGGAAAAGCCTTAGTTTCAAAGTCTTGGCCGACACACCATTGATCTTCAAGCTCCCCACGAGCTCCAAGAATCTCTGCATGTTCTCTCTTGGTGACTCGCTCTCATGGCCGTGGAAGAGAGCATTGCTTTGTATCATAGTCACTATAGCTGGCTTGATCTCGAAATTGTTCACCGCCACCGGAGGATGTAGGATCGGTGATTGAATGTACGCCGACCTTGGGGCCATGTAGTACCCCATCGTCCTCGGGGCTCCTTCTTCTCCCGCCTCCTCATTCATGTGGCGGGCTTGAGCGGCTCCATCTTGCCTTTGGTTCACCGCCATTTCCTCTTCAATGACGGGCTCAACTTCCACTTCTTCAACTACTTCTCCACTAACATCGGGACCCAATTATTGTCCCCCTCTTTCAATCCTTCACCTTGCCTCGACTAGCTCTCTTTCCTTGCTAGGAGTTGGAGGGATCGGTTTATGTCCTCGAAAAGTGGTAGCAAGGGCGTCGGGTTGCTCCGGGTAATACATCTCCTACACACAATCGGAAAACACAAGTCTAACACAAGCAAAGAACACACGCACTTGAAAAACTTGAAATTAAAAGCTAGATTAACAACCAACAACTTTTTCAGAATAACATACCGTAGTCCCCGGCAACGGCGCCAAAAACTTGACTCGCACGAAACTACACCACAATTAAACCCCAATTAGAGTTCAAGTTTTTAAGCTCTAATCGGGGGTAGTATAGGGCAAGTATCTATATATCGACCCAGGCCGGTCCGTTTACCCCTATTTCAGTTGTTAAAATCATTATCTGGCGATTAAACTTTGTTTTAAAGGTTTGCCAATTGAAATGAAAGAAAACAAAGGTACTTTGGTTTGAAAACTCTTTTGTGGGAAAGTCACTTGGGTTTCGCTTCCCCCTAACCGCTTCCATGCTACGTGGGTTGGAACGATTGCCTTGGGCACGTTAATCGTGAACCGCAGAGGAAAGCGTATGTGATCAGGGATCACAGTCTTGATTGCTAAACCGAGGTGAGGATGAAAGGTCGTGTAACTAGACCCTCTCGGTTTAGACAATCGGTAATCGACTTACTTCCTCACTCAACTCTAAGGTCGGACGGTTTAACCACGATTAATTGACTTGTTCCATTCAATATCGAGGATTTCCCTAACTCAACCTAGTTTAGGTGGCTTGGAAAGCGGAAGGAAAACCAACTTGATTGAGTCTCCCTTAGAAAGGGGAATTTTCCTCTCTAAACTAGGCTAAGTTGGCAAATTAGATTACTAGCACCTAAATGCACAAACTTAGGGGGTGCTAAGCACAATTATGCACAATCCCTAGGATGCTAAGCCCAAAATATGCACAACCCCTAAGTTGCTAAGCACAAGCATGCAAAATCATGGTGAAAAATACCTCAAACATTAAATTGAACAATGCCCAATATCAATCGTCCAAACCACATACAAGAAAACTACATGGTAGGGTTTAGGGTTTCACTACACCCAAGTGGGAGGAGGACTAATCCATGGAAGAAGCGGGAAGAACAAAGGGGAAAAAGGTGGAAACCATCTTTTGGGAATGCATCCTCTCTTCTTCAACCTTGAGCTGGGATTTCCTTGGGGAAATCTTCCCAAATCCTCCTTTGAAGCCAAGCCCTAACCTCTTCTTCTCTTTGGTTCTGTTACTCTCACTAAAATGCAGAAGAAGGTGTTTCTCTCACAAAAGTGGCTCCCCCCTTCTCTTTCCTTGCAGCTCAGCTTTTAAACCCGAGAAGAGCTGAGTTCACAGCCTGAGTTCACGGCCATGAACCATCAAACGCGTCCGTGAACTCACGCCTTGCGCCAAAACACTCCTCATCGATCACGGTTGTTCATGGGCAATTGCTTGTGTTCACGGTCTTAGTAACCGTGAACTCACCTTGCGTCAGTAACCTTCAACTTGGCTCTGGATGCCTTGCACTTCACGGTTAACTCTCCTTCTTCATGGTCTTGCACGACCGTGAACTCCTGCCTTTAGCCGTGAACATGCGCTTTTTCACCTCTTCTCCCGGTTTTCGATCCTTTTTGCCAATCCTTCGACTCTGAGGCTGGTTCCACCTGTTAAATCCTGAAAATGACTCAAACGCGAAGAACCTCGCGTAAAACCAACCTCTAATGATCGAATTTGGCACAAACATCTAAACAAACCGGGGGCAAAATATGTGCAATTAGGCCCGAATCATGCCACCACATGCACAATGTTATTGAGCTCGATCATAAGAACATATCTTTGGGGTCGATTGGAAGTTGAGATTCTTCAAATATGTGTATTTGATGAATACATCTATTGTAAATACAAAGATTGTAAGAATTAGATGATTGGAAGAATGTCTTGTTTGGTTGTAGTCATTCAAAAATTTTAAAGAAAAGAAAAAATAACTTTATGAGCTAAAAGTGGAACAAATTAATTCTCACAATCTCAAAGGAAGAATCTCACCTTTTTGTTGAGATTTAAAATGAGTGATTGTGGGTGATATGAGATTTGAGGGCCCACCTCAAATGCATGTACTGAATAAAATGTTGAAACAAAAAAAAACGATGAATTCTCCAGAATACATAAATTCAAAAAATCATTCATCTAGAATCATAACTTCCAAACAGCCCCTTTGAATGGGGGATTCGTGTAGGGAAAATGTATTTTGCATGTACAGAAGGTAGTAGATATTAGATTTTGATGGCAACAACCACGCTAGCAACTAGGGCGGTGGAATCTGGGGTGTTTAAAGCTTTCAATTTCAATTTGTAGCTTGTATGTTCATGATTTAGATAATTAACGATCTTCTTTTTTATAATTTGCGCGCCCAAATTATATAATTCGCGAATTTGCTGCGAATCCTATGGAAAACACGTTTCTGCGCTCCAAAGCGGGAACGTCCGGCCCAAATACACGAATTGGGTGACCTAAGGTAGAATGGTTTGTTCGGTTAATTTAGGGCAGGAATTTTAAGAAGTTGAGGCGTTAAATAAATTAAAATGGAATGATAATGAAGGTAATATTGTTTGGGAGAAACTTCAGAGATAGAAAGATGGGCTCAAATAGTATGACAAAAACAGCAAGCCATTACTTTAGTTTAGGCCCAAAAACAAAATTTCGCAAGGAATGGCAGATTCAACAAAAATAGGCCCAATAAAGAAAACTCGGTTACTAACTTGCTCTTATGTTCATAAAGTTATTGAGCCAATTACTAAATTTGCAATATTTAGTCCACTACTTTACACACTTTGTAATTACAACTTTTTCAAGGGCATACATTAATAAAATCCAATGGGTTAGATGCTATTTTTGGGACCCACTAGCATTATAATCTCTTCCTACATAATAGTGGAGGGCGGCGGTGTCATCATAGAATGTTGATTAGCGCGTGATGAGGAATAAAGCAAGAATTCGCAGATCTATAAAAGGAACGCAGAATTAAAAGTGAGAAAGAGAGAACAAAAGATAATTTTAACGTTGGTTTGGCTAAACCTATGCCTCTGATCTTTTGACAACAATCAATATAGTACTACTAATAAATTCTAAGAACATAAATCTCCTAAGTAAACACCACATTAATCAACCTATTTTAACTAAAGCTCATCCTAAAATTACGAACAATCATCCTCACTCTAATACATAAGTTACCTATTTGGCCCTAATTAAATCTCAATTTGGCTGCAAATCAGACTCTCCTTCCTCGTCCCTTCTCAATCTCTGACGATTCCGCTGCAAGTGAGACGAGGTCGTTGATTCCTCAGGAGGGCACCCACTTCATGTCTCCGACTCTACTGTAATCTCAACTTGATTTGCTCCAGATTGACTCCTCTAAACAAATGCTCAGAATCAATGCTTCCCTCCCTCCTCCCGCCATTGTCTCCACCATCATCTCGGCCTTCAAGTATCTTATATATGTGCATAAACTTATTTAGTGTTAACGATTTTCAACTTTCTTCAAACTTTGCCCAGCCTCGTCTCATCAATGGTCTCCTGACGTATATGAAAGAGTGTTATTCGTTCGAAAAATTCCTACATCTCTATCTATGTCTGAGATGTTTGGTTTTTTCAAAACTCCATGAGCTTGTAGAAGAGAAAGATTATTCCCACTCAGATCAAGACATAACTTTTACTTGTTCAAATAAAAATTAAGGTTAAGCAGGGACATGAACAATCTTGACAGCAGCCGGCCGAGTGCAGTCGACAACGTTGGCCGAGAAATCTCAGCAGCAGCTGGTCGAGTACGAATCTCTTTATAATAAACGTATTCATTTTGCAAGTATGTTATAACGAGTAGTTCCTACAAAAGATACAAGTTCTGATAAAACTGACATAGCTTGTTGTACCACTGGTTGGACTATACCTGTTGTCAAATCGTATAAACAGGTTTGGCAACTTTGGTTTGGGGTGAGATAGAAAATAGATTAGGGTTGGTGTTTATAGTTATAGTAATTTTCCCAAATTCACCTTAAATGAATTTTAATCATTAAATTTCCTTTTCTTCAAAGGGGCTATAAATATAGTTAGATATAATATTCATTCCCCAGATGACAACTAATAATCTCCCCGTTATAAGTGTAACTGTAATTAATAAAATGGTTAATTGGCTTCTTGCGAAATTCCGTTAGACACAAAATGCAGTTGAGGCGACGGTAAGAAATTTAAAAGTCAAGAACCCCTTTGGCGCAAATGGCATTTCTCCACTCGGCATTCGATGTCAAATACCACCAAAGCCGCCACGCCCCAGCGTTATACCAAGCCGAACCTCCCTAAACCCGACAGATCGCCGCATCTCCCCGCCGGTCTGTCGACGGATCCGCTCCTCCGGGATGGCGCTTTCATTTCCCCCGTTTCCGGCTCCTCCGGGGGCCAAGCCATTCCACCACCGGGCGACAATCAGCAGCGCAACTCCCCCTCGGCTAACGGAACGCCGGAATCTTCTCGATCGCGGTCGAGAGTGTCGGAGACGAGCTGGTTGCCCCCTGGATGGGTGGTGGAAGACAGAGTCAGAAGTTCGGGTGCGACGGCTGGGACGCGAGATAAGGTCAGTGTCAAAATATCTCATGTCAATCCAGCAGAATATTCATTTGCCTTCGACTGGATCTTCCCCTGCGGCTGTGTTAAGATTATGATTTACAGTAGGAGTTGCAGCTCTCACTCGTCTGTTAAGCTGCCGAGTATTGCATGAATCGGTTTCAGCAGTTCCTCATTTTGGTTCGATTAGGTTTTCCGACGACTCTGGGTGAAATGAGAGAGCGTACTGTATGATTAGGGAGAGGACGATAGTTCAATTAGGCATGGATTTTCGAATGTGCTTGTGTTCTGATTAGGAAATTGTTGCAGTGGAACCTTTAAGATTGAAGTGATAACACATTCCTAATTTAGGGCTGCTAACAAGCTGGCTGCTTGCACTTGCGGATTGGCAGGGAAGAATCAGGCAACGCAGTTTGATGACCTTCCTATGGGTTCATTCTTTTTCATTGTCCATCTTAACTGAGATATCCCTTGTACTCGATTGATTTCTGGTTGATCATGTCTCGTTTGAAAGTCTTTTCAGTGTATTTTGATCTTCTTCTCATAGGATCTGTACAATATCCTGGGAGAATGTGTAAGCTGCCAAATATTGACTACAGTTTGAAGTCCAGATTTAGAGGGAATTTTTTAGTTGATTCCCATATATAAGCTGGTCTAAGATATGTTTACTGTCACTTCTGCTTAAGGGTGACATGTTCTTTCCTGATCAGTGATCACCGTGAGCTTCTTGTCCGTGTTCCACTGAGGTGTCAGGGTTAAATGAAGAGTTTTTTTATTTATTTATGAAGAGTCGAAATCATAGTAAGGGCTCGGCCTTCACTTTAGATGTTTTTTTCAGGCCAATTATAGATCAAGCATTATGTACATGCTCTGGAATTTGGTGGCATCTTTACCGGAATCTTTGGAATGGTGATGCGTATATTGTTTGGTTTTGAAAGTTGAACTACCCTATAAGGTGCTAGTTAGCAACTGAGTATGCCTCCTATAGTTTTATTGTGGCAGACGTGTACATTTCATTCTTTCTTAATAGCATAAGGAGGATTAGTTAAGGTTTCACTTCATAAAATTGCCAATTGTTTTTCTAGATCCAGATTCATGATTTGCCCTAAGTAGCATTTAGTTTCTCAGATGCACTAACAGAAAAGTGAGGACTTGTACTAACTGCTGGGTTGATTGGCCCTGATGCTGCCGAAAAGGTACGAGGAAGTCAAAAGCTAATGCGGGGTGCATTTCGGATATTACTGTCTCCTATAAGGATTAGGATAAACTCCATCTATTTGAATTTGTAACAGATTGCTGACTGACGGCGGATATCTCATTTAAGCAAGAACGCAGGGTTCTGATTAGATAGTTTGTAAAACCAAGTTTAGGTTTGCTTATCGGTGTAAAAGGAAACTTTATGGGTTTCTGAATGTTTTTGAAACTGTATGGGAGATGATTTGGTGAGGCTAACCATTTAAGGGTTTACAGAAAATTGTAATAATATCGTGATAAAGCATTACCTGGTAATACCAACCAGTACAGTGTGGTATAACAAACACTAGGGTTTCTTTTCCAGGGTAGAAAAATTTAAAGGTTTCCATGATGTCATGAAATGAATTGCATGTTGAGAGAATTTGTGTTGTAGAAGATGATACCATACTTAATTTGCTGATATCCAACCATGCTAGTGCTGTTTGTCTTGGCATTTGCGTTGTTTAAATATGGCCATGGTTTCATGGTTACAAATTTCTCTCTTCCTACATGGATGGAGTACATTAACTTTTCTTTACTTGATGCAGTACTACTATGATCCTGTCTCGCGCCGCCGGTTTAGGTCCAAGCGAGAGGTGCAGTATTTTCTGGAGACGGGAAGCGTGAAGAAGCAAAAAAGAGCAGAGAACTCTGATGCTAATGCTAATGTACGAAGTCCTACCTTTCTTAACATAGCTCCCTCTCAATATTTCTCGAATGGTCTTGTTTATTGACGCTTGAAAGCTTTCTGAAGTCTGCAGAGGGCTCCAGTACTCAGAAAAGCAAGACGCCTAAAAAGGAAGCTAGAGTAGCTTCTCATTTGGACTTCAATTTTTCCAATGTGCCCGATAGTGTTGAATGGATCCTAGCAGATGCGAATAAAGGTACATGGACGCCGTTTGTCGCAGGTAAAAAGCCTCCTGATTCCGAGAGGCAAATATGGAATGTTACTTTCAAATATCTGGCGGCTAGAACTGTAGAATATACAGCAAAAGGGAAGCATCCCAAATGAAGCACATTCCCTCTCTCGGTGGTAGCTTTTGCTGTTTGGGGTATCTTCCACTTCATTTTCCCATCCCCTCCGCCAGAGTTTGTTTCAGCTCGCTCCCATGGATGATACTCCCCCATTAGAGTCTGTATTTTAGTATCTAGCGAGGTCTCCTCATTCACCAATGTAATATTGACTGTATCCTTAGAACTCTCCAGGAGTACCTGCTAGCAGTGTAAGGATCCTGCAGATGGTTTTATTTTCAGCTTTGCTGAAACTAGAGACTGCGATTTAGATGTTTTTGTGTAGCTTTGATCGCGTTAAGGGTCGGGGGGAAGAGGAATAGAACCAGCTGCTTTGCTCTTCAAAGTGAGCAGAATGATAGTTTTTGATGACCAGAGTCTGGTGTGGGCACAAGTCTTCTTTCTTGTTGACCAGAGTATGGGGTTCATTTTGTACCTGTGTATCTGTATTGGGGAAGTTTTTGTTGACCAGAGTCTGGTGTGGGCACAAATGTTCTTTCTTGTTTGTCTCGCTTCTTTTTTTGTTAGTTATGTACTGAATTCATTTTTATTGTTTGATCATATGCTTACTCTATGTTGACTCATCTCAGCTTCTGTCATGGTCTCAGTTAAGTTGTAAAGTGTTAGCCTGAAGATAGTCTTAAACTTTAGTATCCATGCTTAGCTTTGCCTATACCTGAAGTTGGCAGTGTTGAACTTTTAGGATTCATGTTGATGGGTGGTAAGACCCACAGCAAGCATTGAAAAAAAGGGGGAAAAAGGAAAAAAAGGAGGGGAAAGCCTACAATAGGGGAGGATAAAAAGGCTAAAAAGGAAAAGAAGGCTATTGGGGGAGGGTTTACCCTTCTGAAAAAGACAAAAGAAGGAGGAAAAAGTGGGTTGTTGGTGGAAGAAGATGATTGAGCCACGTGGCTGGTGCCTTCTTTTCCTTTTTTTATTCGTTTATTTTTATATCAGATTGAATTTAAATGATTTTTTTGTATGGAACCACTCATTTGTGAAACTTGTGATGAGTAATAGTATTCTGCAAATTATTGAGATTCGTCATTGATAACGTCATATTTAATTAGTGATAAAAAAATTATGTCCAAATTAAAAAAAAAATTATATCGAAATGTTCGTCTTAATTAATTAATACTACCTGTATAAAAATAATAAGTAAATTATCAAAATAAAATTACCATATCAACTCTAGATAGATTTTGAAGAAAAAAACCTTTCCCATTACCATTTTTTCCCTCCCACCCATTGTGACCAATTTTTCTCCTCCACCCTTTTTTCCCACCCTTTTCACCCTTTTTTCCCTTCCATCATTGTGGATGGTCTAATCATGTAGTCATTTGAATAGCTGATTTAGCTGATTATACTATTGTGTGCTTAGAGCAAGGTTGTCAAATCGGCTTATATTGTTATGTTGGTTTAGCAAGTGATATGATCAAATCGGTGTGTAGCCCGACATATGTCGGTTTTATCAAAATATGCAGGAAAACTGAGAAACTAGTAACAGCATGTCGAAACATTGTTTCACAATTACGCTCGATTTGGTGAACTTACTATATCATCAATTTATCTGCCATACACAATAGTTCATTGTTATTAAATTATGACTATAGTGATTTATCGAGAAAAAATATCAGCGTAGTGTTACTGCAGTGATTGCCCTGAAACTAAACTTTCGAAATTCAAATAATATTATTGTTTGTGATTATGTCAATTTTCTTATGGGGATGTGAATATGATTTGCTTATTATCCAAACACAATATGCGTGGGATGTGATGTTGTACACTAGGCGTGGGTCATGACTCGTGAATGATATTAAGTATCAACCCTTTTTTCCTCATCTGCAAGTTTGCATACTTGGCCTCCACGAAAAAGATGCTCCGATCCTCCACTTAGTACTTGCCCCATTTTGTCTGCTTCTGAAGCATATTCCAATTGGAAAGTCAAGGGCATAACTGGAAACCCACTGTCATAGCGCGAACCATCTGGGCGTGGGTAGACTCGATCACGTTCTCCTTTTTTTCCTTTATAAACTCCACCAGTCATTGGCCTTGTAACGTTTTACCCATCCATCAAGCTTCCTGCTCCGTTCAATCTCTCTCTGATCTAGCTCTCGTTTCCATCGAAAATGGCCAGAAAGTTCTTCGTCGGCGGCAACTGGAAATGCGTAAGCCCCGTTCCCCTCATCGATTCGTCCTCGATACGCCCTTTGTTCTCTCCTTTCTCTTTGCGGTCCTTCTATGTACACTTAGGATTTGGATCGAGGCGGATCCGATTCATACATGCTTAGTTGAACCTATGTCTAGATCTGATTGTTCTTTTCCTGCCGTATGATTGAATCTGCTCTACCATGGTTCCATCTTCGAAATCAAATCTTATGGATGTATTCGTTTCCGCTGAGCTTAATTGTATGTGGGACTGATTCTGTTTTTTTTTCTTCTTCTTCTTCTTCCTGTTGCAGAATGGCACAACCGAGGAGGTTAAGAAGATCGTCAATGTTCTGAATCAAGCTGAGATTCCCTCTGAGGATGTCGTCGGTGAGTCTTTTCCCTTCCCGCCCCCATTTTTATCCTTGCTGTTAGCTTTGATAGACACCCATCAAGTTTATGTTCATAGCAATCGAAAGAGACTTCTGTTTAAAGATTTTGACAGGAAATAAATGAGAACATCAATTGTGCATCTAAGTTTGTCTTGCTTGATTTGTTCGGTACTGAAATATATATATTATACAGTGTTTTATTTGCAGCATCCTTTGCTAGTCTGGATAGGTTTTGGGATTACTATATGTTGAGCTTTTTATAGAGATCCAGAAGTTGTTTGTTGCTGATACTTGATAGTAAACTTGTTAAACCAGTACTTGTTCTAGTGTTTTAACTTCATAGATTTGTTCTTTGCTTGCAGAAGTTGTTGTCAGCCCTCCATACGTGTTCCTTCCGGTGGCCAAAAGTTTGCTAAGGTCCGACATCAAGGTTGCTGCCCAGAATTGCTGGGTTCGCAAGGGTGGAGCTTTCACTGGAGAGATTAGGTATGTATCCTGTTGTTGTTCGTTGGCCCCTTAGATGTCCACTGTCTTCATTCAGAAGAAATGGGTCTTTTGATGCTATATGCAAGCTTCAGGCGTAGACTTTTTATGTCTTCAATATAATGCATAGCATTCAAACATTTAGCTTAGGTTGAGAGGTCCAATATTATAGTTGCCAAGGTACACATATACATGTGTGGAACTATATCCATGTCTTATTGGTGGGAGAACGACGGTCTTGACTGGTGGGCATGCAATGATTGAATGAGATCCATAAACTGTTTGTCAAATTTTTTGGTACTTATTAATCAGTTGTTTTTCTTACGGGATACATCTTCTGCTTAAGATAGTCACTGCCATTCAATTCCCTATGTAGCAATCAATAGACGTTTTTCCAATATGTTTTACTTCTCTCACTCACTCTTTCTTTATGTTTTTAACTTTTGTCCCTTTCCTACTACAGTGCTGAGATGCTAGTGAATTTGGACATTCCTTGGGTCGTTCTTGGTCACTCTGAGAGACGAGCTCTGCTGAATGAGTCGAATGAGGTAGGCGCATCAACCTATGAAGATAGGCTGACGTGCCTCTGCAACTCTTGTTTGACAACCGCCATTGGATCTGTATTTATGAAATTTATCATGATCTTGCTTGTTTGTGCAGTTTGTTGGAGACAAAGTTGAATATGCACTTTCTCAAGGGTTGAAAGTGATTGCTTGTATAGGCGAGACACTTGAGCAGAGGGAGTCAGGATCAACTATGGCTGTTGTTGCTGCTCAAACCAAGGCAATTGCAGGTATTTGCATTGTTGTTGCAGCAGACATGTTCCGCTTTCCCTTGTACTTAGTGGATTGTCATCCATAGTTTCTCCTTTCTGGAATTTGGATCTTGTATTAGTAGAATCTCTATAATTGTCCCTTAAACAATTTTAGAAGTTTTCCATCTGGAAAGAAGCCTATTTAGTTGTGGAAGAGCTGAAGGCTTCATTTGTGTTCCTTCTGCTTCCTCGTCATCTTTGGAATGGTATGTTCTGAACCACTGTTTATTTTCTGTAGATAAGATAAAAAGTTGGGACAACGTTGTCTTGGCTTATGAGCCAGTATGGGCCATCGGGACAGGAAAGGTTGCATCACCTGCTCAGGCTCAAGAAGTAAGTAGGAAATAAACTTAGGTTGCTTAATGCATCCTTTACTTATGGAATAACCATAAGTTGGTTATTGGATATGTTGGTCTGAATCATACCCCATTTGTTTGTCTTAATGTATTGACATACAGTAGAAGATAATTGGTTTTCCATCACTGTCCGAAGATTAGCATAAATAGACAATGCATTAGGATATTTCTGGGGTTTTGAAGAATTCTAAACAACTAGCATTGATGTCTTTAATGTCAAGTACAGCAATCTGATGCCCTTGCTATCATCTCTCCCTGTAACCCAGGTCCATGCGGAACTGAGGAAGTGGCTTGCTGAAAATGTCAGTGCTGAAGTAGCTCAAACAACTAGAATTATCTATGGAGGTAATTACACTCTTCATTAGCTTGCTATCTTAACCTTATCTAGCAGTTAGTGTCTCTCCTAACTCCCAAGTATTTGTTCTCTGCACATCAAAGTCATCGGAGGAGAATACGGCTTTTGTAATAAACCCTCTTGTATAATTTATTTTGGTTACTTTAGGCTCTGTGAACGGAGGAAACTGCAAAGAGTTGGCAGGGCAAGCAGATGTTGATGGATTTTTGGTTGGTGGAGCTTCTCTCAAGGTGAGTGAGATTGATTATCAATATCACCAGTATATTGGCATGTGTTCTCTTCTAATCTAGACCGCTGCTGGCATTTATATCTGACATCTCTTCTCCACCATTTGATCTTTTTGTCAGCCTGAGTTCATCGACATCATCAAGTCTGCCACGGTTAAGAAGAGCGCTTGAGGTTTGGATTGGAAGCTGGAACTTTTTGTCAATTAAGGGCAGGCTGATGACTTCACTCGTTTGTTGTTGAAGTAGACTAAAATAAAATAATGGCTTATGAATTAGTCCGTCTTTTTTTTTTGGACTGCGCCTATGGTATGCTGCAGCTGAATTCTAGGGTACGGAGTTTTCCATTTTAACGGGCGTGCTGATTGTTGAATACTTGAGTTTTTGAGATGCAACGGAGGTATAAATGGTGTACTGTTTTATTTAGTAGTCTGCTATAAGCATGAATGATCCCGTGTCGCTTCTCGACAATGGTTTTCCCGTCTTCCCGTGGTATGCTGTTTAAGATTGTGATAAGGAGCTGCCTAGAGTTGAGGACCTTATCTTCTATAAGGGCCATATTGCAGATAAGATAAACTTTCGACTAAGTATTTAATTTCATTAATAATAACTATAATTAGTTAAATGTTTCAGATTTGGTCATTCGTCCAATTTCGTTAATATTTGATTATGTGGCAGGCAGTCAACTTTTATAGCTGACTGTTAAACTTGTGACACGTCAATTAAAAAATAAAAATTTATTTTCTTAAAATTTTCACCTCATTTCTACTATTAAAAAGATAAAAGTAAAAATATTTTTTTTATTATTAAAAAACCTAGTCGTTCGCCCCTGCATTTTCCCACCGCTGCCTCTCAATCTCTCTTCTCGGTCCCCTGGCTGATAAAGACTGAACGAGCTCCCTCCGATTAACCTCTCTCCTCTCTGCTCGCAGTCGTCGCTCACTCTTTCGCGGGCAAGATCGCCTGCGACTCTTCCAAATTCGTAGCCGTCGCCACTCACTCATTCACGCACAAAATCTCAATCGCTACTCACTCCTTTGCCCCGAGATCACTCCGTCGCTCACTCCTTGCGTCGACGAGCTTACGATTGCAGGAGAAGGAAGGGAAATCATGAGGAGCGAAGGCGACGAGAGCGGCTGAAGCGGTGGCGGTGGCAGAGCGTCTAAAGTGGTGGCATCGAGTTAGAACCATTGGGTACTTGGGTTCACTGTTGGGTATATGAAATCCCCACAGTTTAATAGCAGTAGCAGATCGACGCGCATGGTTTCAGCTGCCGCGAACTTTGTCAATTGTGCTAGACACCAAGATCTAGGTTTTAATTGCCTCTTCGTCGTTACAATCAAACAAAGCATTGGCGGAAGCTTGACGCGGCGGGATGCTTGAGCGAGGAAATCATCCAACCTCCTCAAAATGCTAAACCAAAAGCACTCCTATCTCTTGCTCACCCTTCTGTACTAGCGCTGATGTGAGGCGGTGCGGCGGTTGGCATGCAGAGCAACGAGAAGGCTGGATATGGAAGCATAGCTCAGCAAAGAGTGGTTGCGATGGTGGTGTGCGGGTGGTGCGACGGCGACGAGGGGCTGGAGCAGAGCTGGTCGCGGAATTACGGCGACGACGAGGGGCTCCGAATGGGAGTACCTATAATCCATTATCAGACGTTAATTAGAGGCCCTCCGGGTCATTCTTCTCACTTCAATTAGATATTATTATTACTTTTTATTTTTTTTTTATTTTAATTTATTGTAAAAATGATGTGGAAATTATATAAAACTAATTTTTATTATTTTTAAACCGCTACGTCACTTATTTAACGATCAACTATGAGGGTTGACTGCCACATCAGACAAAGTTAACGGAATTGGACGGAGGGTGACCAAATTTGAACTGTGGAATATTTGTAGTGACCAAATATGAACCTTTTTAGTAAACTCAGTGACCAAACTTGCAATTTACCCTATAAAGCTATCCCATCTAAAGAAGGATTTGGTGAAATTTTACACCCAAAACATATACAAGTTTTTGTGCAAGAGAAACAAAGCAAGTTGCAGGAAATATTGGAAATCCAACTATAGATTTCACGAAGGAAGCTGATCCTTCTCCTAATGCACTAAGGAATAAGGATTCCCAATGCGGCGTCGTTTCCCTCAGACGCAACAGAAGAGCTGAGTAGAGCATTGCCGTTTTATTAGTGTGATGGAGGTTTCCGTTTTTACTGTACATAATACACCTGTCTTTCTTGTATTGGTAGATATTTTTTTGTTCGTTTGTTATCGCGGCCTTATGGTAACTTTGTACAGTAGAGTCTCCTTCTTGGAGAAGTTGATTGAATATATAAAAGGGCCTTGAGACACCAAAAGATCCCTTGCGGGTTCTTTCACAGTACCATTGTTGTTTTCTCACATGGTATCAGAGCCTGGTTCTCAGAACTAGGATTTCGTCTTCCGCCATACCCGCATTCTTTCCCTCTACCTACTTATCTTCGCTTTCTTTCCTTCTTTTACCATGGCAAATGAAGCATCTACAATTTCCAGCTGCAGTTCCACTGTGGCTACCAATCCTTCATCATAGTAGTCAAAATCCCGATTTAAATCCTAAAATTCTATGTTTTTAAGATTTTTCTTACCTATTCCGATTTTGATTCACTATAAAATCTATGGACCTTAAAATCCTACACTATTCACAATTTAAATCCTTAAAATCTTTAAAATATTACGATTTTACGATCCAAATCTTTGAGACAATTTTACTTATTTTCCTCAAAATTTGCAAAATTACACCTCTTTTTCTTCTCCTTCACCAACATCAACTAGTTCTCTCACACTAACCACCATCGACTATAATTAATTCACATCAACATATTAATCATCATCGATTCACCACCTCTTAACAGTAACCTTGATAAATTGGAACATTAACCTTGAAAAAATATCATTGTAAGTGTTATTCACGATTTTCCTTACTAATATTATTCCGTCTTTCATTTTTATATGGACCTTAAAATTCTACGATTTTAAGATTCCGATTTTACTCCTATTTTCGATTTTACGTAAAATTCCGATTTTGACTGCTTTGCCTCTCACTACAGTCACAAACCCCTTTTACATAAACCCTAATGAAGCCTTGAGCTACCCAATCAAGCTCACAGGAACTGTAAACTACAACTTATGGAGAAGAACCATTCGAGTTGCTCTGAAGAGCAAGAACAAGTTGTGTTTCATTACTGGGTCCATTCCTGTTCCAGATCCAACGGATGCAAGTTATCAAGCTTTGGAACAAAGCAACACTGTTGTCTACTTCCTGATTCTACGGTCCCTTGACCTCAGCATAGTGAACAGTGCCTCTTCTCAAGACAACGCCAAACTCCTCTGGATGACCTAAGATAGAGTTACGGTCAAACTGATAACACCAGGATCAGTGACCTCCAGACAGTTGTTTATACACTAAAACAAGGTAACAAGCCTGTGAATCAATTTTACTCTAAGTTGAAGGGTTTCTGGGAAGAATTAGTCCAGTTTCTGCCAATCCCAAGTTGTGAATGTGGAGGATAACATAGGGATAAAACTATACCTTGTGTTACTAAGACCACATTGAGGAAATACAGAGAGAATGAGTTTGTGACTCGATTCATAACTGGTCTGAGTGAGACATATGGGGGGTGCTAAGATCAATCTGTTGATGATGGTCCCCTTACCAACCATGGAGACAACATTCCATTATGCTATCTAGCATGAAAGACAAGTCTCTAGACCAGGTCGAGAGTCTCAAGTCGATTCTGTGGCTCTCTTAGCTAATAACCAGACTAGGGGTAAGGAGAATGTTAAGGGAGCACAAGGCACCTTGTTATGCAGATACTGTAAGAAGGATAACCATGTCATCTCCGATTGCTACAAACTGAAAAAGAAGAACAAGGAGACAAGTTCTTCATCTGGATTGCAGGACACTTACAAGGAGTTGATGTTTCAGGAGGGGGCATTCTTCCAAAAGCAGAAACCAGGGCCTTGCCTGAGACAGTTGATGGTTTCACTATTATAAGGCTTTCAAATGATGACATTGGCAGACTTCGGAGGATCCTCACTCAGTTTGGATCACCCAGCTCTCCCACCTCACCTGGGTCACCTGGAACAGCCCTTGCTGGACCACATCAAGCACAACAACCAATGGTTCTATGAGCAGGCATCTTTCTGTGAATCCAAATTTTGAAGGTAAATAGACACTTTCCTCGTGTTACCAGCAACATCTATTGGAATTAATTAATGTGTGGTTCCTAGATACTGGTGCAACAGATCATGTTTCTTGCTCATTGTCTAGTTTCACTAGGCACAAACCTATTTAGAATGTGCTTCTTGCTCATTATCACCCTTAACTTCTTCTCCTTCCTCACTACCCATAACTACTTCTCAAACAGAACCAGTTGCTTCTTCCCCTTCCTCCTTTTCTCCTATTCCAATTCCACCTTCTCCCCCTTCTTCTTCTCAGCCAATTGCTCTCAGAAAGGCACCTCGTGTTCCTGTTAAGCCTGTCAAATATAATGATTATGTAATGCACCTAGGAACCACTAACTCAAAAGTTTTATATCCAACGATTGCTTGCTTGTCATATGAACAACTGTCAAGCAGTTACAGGAAGTATGTTTTGGCAGTGGAGTCCACTATTATCCCTGGTTCCTTTGAAGAGGCAGTTAAAGAAGAATATTGGAGAATAATTATGGATTTAGAATTGGAGGCACTGGAAGCTAACTACACCTGAGATTTAGTTCCCATACCTTCTCATTAGAAGTTTATTGGTAATAGATGGGTGTACAACATCAAGTTTCATGCAGATGGTACGTACCATTGAAAGGTACAAATCCAGATTGGTGGCTAAGGGATTTACACAAATTTATGGTGTTGACTTCCTTGATACTTATTCCCTAGTGGCTAAGTTAAATACTGTCAAAACCTTATTATGAGTAGCAGCAGCAAAGAATTGGGACATATATCAACCCGATGTGAGTAATGCTTTTCTCAATGGTGACCTGGAGGAAGATGTTTACATGGAGCTTCCTCTTGGACTATCAAAGCCTGTATATGTTTGTAAGTTGAATAAGTCTCTATATGGTTTAAAACAAACATCCAGGCAATGGTTCGCCAAGCTTACATCAGTTTTACTTGATTTTGGTTACACACAGACTCAGAATGATTATTCAATGTTCCTTCACCATTCTTCTGCTGGTACTTCAGTCCTCCTAGTTTATGTTGATGACATCATCATTGCTGGAGATGATGTTCCAAGTATGTAGGCCCTGAAAGCACATCTGAGTCATCATTTTAAGCTTCGGGATCTTGGCCCTCTTCACTACTTCCTTGGTTTGGAAGTGGCACGATCTAGAGAGGGATTACATATATGTCAGAAAAAGTATTGCACAGACCTCATCACTGATGTGGATTTGCTGATTCTAAGCCAGTACTGACTCCCTTCGACATGAAGACTCGTCTTTCAGTAGATGATGGACCTCTTTTTGATGATCCAAGGTTGTTTAGAAGGATTGTTGGTCGTTTACACTACTTGACCATCACTAGAGATCACCTTTGTTGTTCAACAACTCTGTCAGTACCAAGCCGCACCAACCACAACTCATATGCAGCTAGCCTATAGAGTTCTTAAATACCTCAAAATGCCCCAGGTCATGGTCTCTTTTATCCCTCTTCATCTGATTTGAAGCTTAGAGGGTATAGTGATTCGGATTGGGCATCATGTCCTGATACAAGAAGGTCTACAACTGGATATTGTATTTCTTTTGGAGACGCAATATGGAAGTATAAAAAGCAAGGAATAGTTTCAAGAAGTTCATATGAAGCTGAGTATAGGGGCCTTGCTCAGTTAACATGCGAAGTTGTTTTGGGTTAAAAGGTTACTCCAGGAGTTTAGTATTGATCATCCTCAGCCAGTTGACCTTTTCTATGACAGTCGATCAGCAATTTATATTGCAGAAAATCCTGTGTATCATGAGAACGAAACACATTGAGATTTGATGTCACATTGTTCGTCAGTTCCATCAATCGAAGCTGATAGGTTTGAGTCACCTAGAAACAGAAAATCAAATTGCATATCTGTTTACAAAAGGGCTCAGCCGATTCAGACTCCATCACCTGATATCCAAGCTGAACATACAAAACTTGTATGTGTCAGCTTGAGGGAGGGTATTGGAGATGCAGCTACAGGTTTCACGAAGGAAGTTGATCCTTCTCCTAATGCACTAAGGATTCCCAATGCGTCGACGTTTCCCTCAGAAGCAACAGAGGAGCTGAGTAGATCGCTGCCGTTTTATTAGTGTGATGGAGGTTTCCGTTTTTACTGTACATATTACACCTGTCTTTCTTTTATTGGCAGATACCGTTTTGTTCGTTTGTTAGTGTTGCCTTATGATAACTTTGTGCAACAGAGTCTCCTTCTTTTTGAGAAGTTGATTGGGTATATAAAAGGGCCTTGAGCCACCAAAAGATCCCATGCGGGTTCTTTCACAATACCATTGTTGTTTTCTCATAGGAAAAGAAGGTTCTAAAGTTCGCTCTAGCTATATCATCAAGCACAATTAATTAATGTGCTTGTATTATAAGGGGCAATGCCCAGTGGAGCCAGCAACCAAGGAGGGACACAATTCGAGGAACATTATCATGGAAGGCCTTGTATTATATGACATATTTATTGGTATTCAGATATCCCTACTAACCAAAAAGATAAAAGTTATCATTTTTATTTTATTATTTACAAGGTTCAAGAAGGCGCTAGGCGAGCGTTGAGGCTTTGCGTTGATGAATGAAATAATAGCTAGACTAAGCGTGCCTATGCGTTGGAAGAAAAATAGTTATTCGCACTGCATGATGAATGAAATAATAATCTACAACACTTTCTCACTTCAGATAAAATGATTAATAACTTACTAAACACTTAATGACAAGAACACAACTCACAAATTCATAGAATCATAGCTCAATAGCTCACAAAGTTCTTGAGCTATTGAAAATATTGATATATAAAATTGATTTCGTAGTTGACGTTAATTTCCTTCTTTAATATTGACTTCCTAGCTCCATCTAGTTATGTTTAGGAGAGACTTAGATGTAGCCTTACTCCATTGATGTGTTCCTGCATCTAACTAGGCGTGAAACCCATAGGCGAGAAGTTTTGCCATTCCCTTGTGCTTAGACGTGTCTAAGCGTAAGATTAAGCGTGCCTTTTTGAACCATGATTATTTATGCCATGTAGGTCCACAACAATATTTGTTAAGTTAGCATTCTAAACTTTGATTACTCATTTTGGAGCTAATCCCACTTTAATTAGTCATTTTAGTTACCTAATTAGAGATGTTTCTAGGAGCTAATCCACAACAATATTTGTTAAGTTAGCATTCTAAACTTTGATTACTCATTTTGGAGCTAATCCCACTTTAATTAGTCATTTTAGTTACCTAATTAGAGATGTTTCTAGGAGCTAATCCCACTATATATATGATCAATTATCTTATCCAACCGGTTTACCAAAAACAAAAGTTCTGTTATCCAACTACTGATTTATAGTTCTATTATCTATACAATCTATAATTTATAGTATTTTTTTGGAATATAAACAAGCAAGTTGGACTACAAATAGAAAAATGGCGGCTTTTGGGGAAGAGCATAGCTAAGTCGATGAGCCAGAAAGAAGGACACAGTTTGAGGAATATGATGGGAGGATGGATGGCATTGGCAGGTTTGTGATTTTCGCAGAGAATCTAATCCAACGGTTGACAGGCGGCGAGCGGTCCGCTCCTTCTCTTCCTTTCTGCTAGTTGGAAGCCTTATCCCGTCTGACTTGACTTGCTCAATTTCCATCTCCACTCTATCTCTACCTCCGCAATAATAAGAGAAAGAAATGAAGGACTCTTTCGCAGGACAAGTTGAATTCTTATGGCACACACACAATTCAAAGTGGCACAGAAACGAAGAATCCAAAAGCAGAAAAACCCACCCTTGAAAAAGCCCACCGTCCTGGTACCCAAAAAGCTGGACCAGCCAGCCATCGCCACCCGCCATTAATGCCCTTCTCCCCACCTTCCATCCTCAACCCTCCATCTTTCCCCTACTGTCTCCACTCCCCACCTGTAACTCTCTTCTCCCTTTCTCCGTGTTTTACTCTTCCTTTTTCTCTGTTCATCCGCTATTCGTCGTTGGGCTCCAAGACGGCGTCGTGTAGGTTTTCTGTTTTTGTCGACTTTTAATCCGTGATTGGGTTTAGTTGATGCTGCTTCCCTGTTACCTGTGACTTATTGAATTCAAAAGCTAGTTGCTCCAATGCGCTGAACCGATCGATTGATGTCCTTCCTGCATTAATACCCGCAGAAAGAAAGGAGTTTTTTTACCTTCCTTTTCACTCCTGGATCTGCCTTCCCCCTGTTCAAGCCTCTGTTTCTGTAATCTTCTTCAAGGCAATCAAATCGTTTCCAAGACGGTGGATCGTTGTTGGGTTTGATTCCAAATGGGGGTCTGTTTAAGCTCCCAGATTAAAGCTGAGAGCCCATTGAATTCAGGTGCTCTGTTTTACCTTATTTCTTTCTCCATTCTTGTTTCCTTATCCTGCTTAACCAGTAGCTTCGATTCCGTATCCTGTTTGTTTGAATCCGAGTCCTGTTCTTAGCACCTTCGGTGCTTTTGTTCCTTCCTGGATGATGCTTGCTTCTTTCCTTGACCTCTCTCTGGGTTTTGTTTTGTTCATTCCCAACTACGATATCGATTTTGCAAATTGGGAAAAGAAATCCATTTTCTGCTTTGTTTTGGCTTGTACCTGAATTGTCATGTTCTGCCAATTGCTATGGGATCGATAATTTTTGTCCTGCTCGCCATCATGGGTCGGTTTGTTTTGTTTTGCTTAACATGGAGAGAGCATGAGCCAACTGTCTCATGGCTACTTGCCATCTCTTTTCAGCAACACTTTAATGAATCAACTGAACCAAATACATGTTCAACCTTCAAATTTGAGTAGCGTCAGAGTCCGTCAAGAGTATTCCTACGTCGTCACGTGACAATGTGTTGCTTCATTTGATTGTTTCAAACTCTCCCGACCAGTTTTCCCTCTTTGAATTCTGCTTCTTCGATTGTTGCAGGGAGGAGTGCCAAGTATGTGAGTTGTGATGGCAATGGGTCAGGGAGAGGAGGGAGTCCCAAGTACGTTAGCTGCGACAGCAACTTGAGTGGCAAAGGTTCAGTAGGCTCAGTGCCTCCAACACCAAGGAGGAGCGAGGGTGAGATTTTGCAGTCTCCTAATCTGAAGAGCTTCAGTTTCTCTGATCTCAAGCTTGCCACCAGGAATTTTCGCCCCGATAGTGTTGTAGGGGAAGGCGGGTTTGGATCAGTATTTAAGGGATGGATTGATGAGAATTCGTACACTGCAACCAAGCCTGGAACTGGACTGGTTATAGCTGTGAAGAGGCTGAACCAAGAAAGCTACCAGGGCCATAAGGAATGGCTGGCGGAAGTGAACTACTTGGGACAATTTTGCCATCCTCATTTGGTGAACCTGCTTGGCTATTGCTTGGAAGATGAACACCGTCTTCTTGTTTATGAGTTCATGCCTCGAGGAAGCCTGGAAAACCACTTGTTCAGAAGTGAGTGGCGTGACCCCATCCTTAAATACTTCCCTAGTGATTGATCACTGTTCTTATGGTTAACCTTACTTTTCGAATGTTTGTCGTCATCATCAGGAGGTTCATACTTCCAGCCTCTTTCTTGGAACCTTAGGTTGAAGGTTGCTCATGGTGCTGCAAAGGGCTTAGCTTTCCTTCACAGTTCTGAAACAAAGGTCATATACCGCGATTTCAAGACTTCCAACATTCTACTTGACTCGGTTAGTTGGGACTTCCTGGTCCTTATGTTCCCTCAGAAGACAGTTTGATAGACTTCCTATATGGCCTGCTAATAGTTTTCTTTTGGCTGGATGTTAATGGCAGAACTATGACGCTAAACTCTCTGACTTTGGACTGGCCAAGGATGGGCCAACCGGTGACAAGAGTCATGTGTCTACCAGGGTTATGGGAACCTATGGATATGCTGCTCCAGAGTACCTTGCCACTGGTAATTTTGTTTCTCTGCCTTGAAACTAGTCCACAGAATTGCTGATACCGATCACTAATAACTGCCATAACGTTTTGCGAACAGGCCATTTAACTGCGAAGAGCGACGTGTTCAGCTTTGGTGTTGTGCTACTCGAGATGCTATCAGGGAGGAGAGCGATTGACAAGAACAGGCCATCGGGCGAACACAACCTGTTGGAATGGGCGAAGCCATACATGGGGAGCAAGCGAAAGGTCTTTCGGATACTGGACAATCGGCTGGAAGGGCAGTACACAATGGAAGTTGCATTCAAGGCAGCCACCCTGTCCTTGCGCTGCATTTCCGTGGAGGCCAAGTTGCGGCCGAGCATGGACGAGGTGGTGAAGGCTCTGGAGGAGATTAGGGAAGCGAATGAGAGCACCAACATTCATCAGGGGAATGCGCCAAGGTCGCGCAGAAGAAGCACAGGTGATGTTGGTAGTGGGGGAAGGATGAATGATGCTTATCCTCGGCCCTCTGCTTCCCCTCTGTAGGTTCGAGATCGAGTGAGTGACAGTTCTTACCTCAATGGTTCTGTACCAGTAGAAATCTGATTTCCACGATACATAGTTTATATACTACTTTACGTTCGACATGTAATTTTGTTAAAGAAGGAAAGGAAGAAATGTTGTTTCCCATACTTCATATGACACCCCGTTCTCGAAACTGCGAGCTGCATACTCATCACTAATATATTACTTGGAGACGACGCCATAGTTAGGTACATTGGAGCTAGTAATTGTTTACCGTCCAGGGGACTGCAACGACCATTATCAAATTAGATGGCTGCGTCTAAAACCGGCAACGACGGTGGACTCTTGAGTTCCAAAAATGGAGTGCGGGAAAAAAACGTAATGTTCCAACAGTTATCACTCATCAGAGGTGGTGGTTTACCCATCTACCAAACACCAGTCGTCTCTGAAGATTGTGGAGGTGGAAAAGTTTAGGCCGACTTTTGAAGACAAATCTGCATATCGAAAGAAGGTTCTATGCAGTAAGTAGGGGTGGAAAACCGGCGGGTTGAGTGGGTTTTAGTCTCAAATTGATCCACCCGCTTATTAGTAAGTTGGAATAATTGTGACCCGCAATCCACCCACATACTTCTGCGAGTTGGGTTGGGTGGGTGGCGGATGGGTACGGTTGGGATGTGGGTAGGGGTGTCTGTTCGGGTGGGGTTCGGTTATCCGAACTAAAACTCAAAAATCCAAAACTGAGATCACTAAAAACCGAACCCAAACCCGATAAGGACTTTCGGTTTCCGGTTACCCAAAACCTAAAAATTTCGTAACGGGTTCGGTTAAAGTAAAACCGAAACTCAAAAACTCAAAAGCCTAAGAATACGGACTGAGTGCTAATTTTTTAGAGGTTTTCAGCCGGAACCCGAAAAACCGATAAGCAAAACCGAACCCAAAACCGAAAACCTGAAACCCAAAACAAACTCGAACAAAAAAATAAAACAAAAAATGTATATAATCTTATCGGTTTCGGGTAAACCCGAAAAACCAAACCCGAATGGATACCCCTAGCTGCAGGTCAACCCGCAAAAGAATTTATCCAACTAGCCATTAAGAAAGTTGACTAATATTTATAATAAGTTCATAACAAATTAGTAAGACAGTATCAATAATTTCTATTTTGATACAATTGATAATTTATAGTTTTTTTTTATTTCTAAGTGATATCAAGAGAGTACAAGAGTTAAACAAACAAAACTACTCAGGAATCCCTTACAAACGACACCCTAGTGAAGCCACCCAAAAAAGTCGAAAGACTCTAATTCTAGAAGAGACAATAACAGTGCTTTATGCGCCACTCTATGAGTAGCACTGTTGGCAGCTCTAGGAGCCTCCCTAAACTCTATACAAACTAACAAAGATTCTAGCATCTTACAACACTCTCAAAACACCGGACCTCTAAAGAAATCTTCTAGGACACCTCGGATCTGGTTGACGACCACTTCGGAATAACCTTCCACTATCACTTGAGTAAAGGATTTTGAGGCGATGATGGTGATAGCATCTTTTGCTGCTGGGAGCTCTGCCTTGTAGGGGTTGACTATTTTCGGGTGACGCAAACCGGCTGCCAGCAGCACATGCCCGTATGACCCACGGACGGATAACAAGACCAGACGAGCACCCTGGTTGTAGAATTGTCTGGCAAGGGAACGAACATAAGGTTGGTAGAATTCAAAAGACACTTTATTTATAGACTTCTAGATTCTCCAAAGCAAACAGACGCATTGGAGAATGTGGAATGTGGAGATCTTAAAGATCATGACAAGTTGCCACAATAGACTAAAATTAACAGTAAGAGCGGAATCAGTGAAGTTGCTCAATCCCACCAGGATCCACAATTCGATTGCTAGGGGGCATTTGAAGAATAAGTGTTCAATGCTCTTTTGAAATTATGATTACTACACACTTCATAGTTAAACTTGTCGTAGGACAAACCCACTATCGGTAGGCTAGTTTTTCAGAACTCAAAAAACAATTTCTTGCAATATTGATATTTATTTTCTATTGAAAATTTTAACAGTAAGAAAATAAATTTAATAATTTGAATTGATAGTAATATTACAAATTTATTCAAATCTCTTAAAAGGGTAATTAACTCATTACTCGTTTACAAAACGGTGTAAACAGTTTTGGACAATTAGTGTCCCTCCATCTCCATAAAGGGGCTCAAGGTAGGGTGCATAACCATGGGTTATGCACCCATCAATAACCAAATCTGAACACTTCATTTAGAAAATCCAGATCTAAAGATAGAGAATTAAATGTCATTTTTATTTTTCCTACTTTTCTTAATCGACTCATATCTTTTTCGTTTTAACTCCGATTTTAATTTTTTTTGCACAGATGGAACTAGTTCATCGTGCTCTACAAAATGAGATCAATTTTCAAAATTTTTTGAGAAAAAAATAATTATGACCTCTCGGTACCAATTGCATACCATATGGTATCTTCTTTGTTTTTAATTAGTTTTTGAAAACGTTTGCACAGAAGGGACGAGTTCATCATGATCTATTGGATCAACAAATTTCTGGGTGAACAAATTACATGACCAAAAAATATCACACAATACCACTTTGGTACGGGGTGGTATCTTGTGGTACACAATGTTGAAAGTCGTAAATGACAGTTAATATACCTCTACTATCATGTATTCAACCATCCTACAGTATTGGTTTGTTCATACCACCATGGTATGCTTTTCAAACCATAGGTATGCTCTTATTTCAATACCAGTCAATACCATATGGTATAGACTGGTAAACAATGTCTCAATTTTTTTTCGGAAAATATATCAAAGTGGATATCATTTTGAATAGCACAATTAATATGATCTAACTGCAAAAATTTTTTTTTTTTGACTTAAAACGAGTGAGAAATCGTCCATCAAAGATTAAAGAGGGGAAAATTAAAGGCTTTCCAGGAGAGAGAGATGCTGATGTCATGTTGATGTGGACGGGTTACTCACCATAAGGTTACTGACCTGATCTGTTCCCATAAAGGAAACTAGTTTTGTACCCCGCCTTTGGCCGGACAGGATTTGTTATTATTTATCGATCCATTTTTAATTTTATAGTTATTCAAGAAAATTATATTGTTATCTTCTTATTAGTAATTCGTCAAAGAAAAAATATTTATTGTTCTCTCTTACACCTCAATGTATATATTTACTCTGTCAAAATTTATTAATACTTAACATGAGCTTCTTAAATAAAACATTACTCAACATTGACCCTTATAGTTCCATTCTCATCGAATTACACAAGTGAGTTGCCCATATTAAAGTTTTCAATATTTAGCATACCCCTTATGATGGTTCCATTCTTAAATGGTAACTTAAGACATGGAGGTTGACAAAAAAAAATTCATGATTAAAATTTACAAAATCTACAATCATTATGAAATTTTGTATGTGCCTCAAATATCTAATCTAAAGAATATATATAATAGAGTTTCCCGAAAAAGGCTTCTCCATTTCAAATTCCCTCTTCACTCATGCCTCCACGTCAGCACCTCATTCAACCAATCATAATGGATTTACTTGTCGAAAAAAACTTCACGTGATCCTTCCCTGCAAAAAAAGAACCAAGCAATTCTCTTTTTCCGTTTTATATAAGTGGAAGTTATTTTAAAAAATCACATAAATTAATATGCACGGTTTCCCTTTTCAGTTTTTCCTTTGTTTTCATTATATTTCTAATCTTTCTTTCCCAATTTATACGTGTAGTGTAAGTCAAAGTTTAGTCCAACCCTAATATTAAATATTAAAAATTTAGTCCAACCCTAATAATTCAAATTCTCAAGTTTTCAAATATTATTTTAAATATAATGGAATGATAAGCAATAAAACATGGATATAGTTGATATGAAAAAGGCTTAATTGTCAAACTATACATTAGGTTTAAAATTTCAGTTAACTTAATCAATTTTTGAATTATGCATATTGAGATTTTAATTCCTTTTCAAAACTAAACTCATTTTTCAAGATATTATTATTTACAAAAAAAAAAAAATATTATCAAATTTATTTACGAACTTCGCAAGAAAAGCATATGAAAAAGGACCAAATGGTAAAGTCCAAACTTGAGTTGTTGGGGTAAATCAATATAGTATGTTAGTAAATAAATAGAAACCCAAGTAGTACAAGTTTAAAATTCATTAATCATTTACCGCTAACTACTTTTACAAAGCAATATGTATAAGGTTGTTACTTTAGGGATCAAAAGTTATTGATTTAGGATAGAACATCTTAAGTGAAAAATCATATTGATACCGTGTCAATATTCCGATGAAATTATAATAAGTCTCATCCTAGAAACACAATTTTATAATTACAAAAATCGACAAAAAATATTGTCTAACTAAATATTATCTAATTATATTGTTAAATAATTATTAATAATAAAATTTACCCGGCCAATGGCCGGGCACAAAGCTAGTATATGTTTAAACACATTAACATCGTTAAATTATAACTTTAATCTCATTTAGAAAATACCAATGGGCTATAAATCTTGTCCAAGAAAACTAATAAATTACGGCTAAAAGATTTCAGTTTAAAAGCAAAATGCTAAAAATCATTTATAAATTGCACATATGTTCCTAAAAAGCATTACCTCCTTCGACGATAGTCGTTGGCTTTGCTGGATGGGCCTGTCGAGGACAGGGTGCTGGCAGTGGCGGACCCAGGATTTTGAGATAGGTGTGTCGACCAATAAAATAAAATTAAAAATAAATTAATCAACATGAATTAATTAATTAGTTAAAAATTAACAAAAAAATTTATTCATAAATTTCACCAATTTTATTATTTCTTACAGTGAACCACGACGATTTTTCATATTCTTAAAGATTTCTTAATTGCATTTTTCCATTAGGTTGCAAATCAAATATTTTTTATGTACAAAATGAAACAATTATTCATAAACTGATCACTCAACTTATACCAAAGATTGTTCTTGATTAAACTCATATATGAAAAATGTCATTTTATAGCTTGCAGTTGCAAGAGGTAAAAATCAATACTAATTTAAGATGAGAAATTTGGTATGAGAATCTCGAAGGGTGGTCACATGTGTCAACATGAAAATTTGAATGAGCATGAGGATGTCGTTTGCTCGATGCCGATAATTGAAGGGTGGCTACACGCGTCAACGTGGAAAGAAATAACTAAACTAGAAAGCAAGTTGAAAAATAACTTAAAGAAAAATCTATGGAAGAAGCTATGGAGAAAGACAGCCTGGAATTCACAATCTAATTATTTTACTCAACCACCTTATTAATCAAATTTAATTCACATTCAAATTATCGATGTTGTCTCTAAGGTGATAGCTATCTTTCTAAATACTCATTATGTACTAAGTAGTCAATTAATTGTGTACTCTTGTGCAACCAACTAATTAACTACCTAATATGAAGCCCGATAACTCATCTATTTGCATATTTTAATAACATTATGACAATTTTTTTTTGTAATGTAATAACGTGTGTCGATTACAATTATTAGAGGTGTGTCGGAGGTCCCATATTCGTATTTTTTACGCCGAAAATTTGTGGGTTCTTCACAAAAATTTCGAACCAAGGTGTGTCGGGTGACACCTTGGTCAAAGGTGGGTTCGCCCCTGGGTGCTGGAGTGGGCTTTGTGGGGCATGATCCGTCCAACAATCTCTTATTTGCTTGCCATGGGTAGGTTTTATGATGGTATCGATGACTCTTTTCTTGTTGCTTTGTTGGCTTTTCGTGATGCTTTAGACTGGTGCTTAACCCATCATTTTCTGTTGGTCCGCTGTCATGGGGATTCCATTGTGACTGTTTAGCGGCTATTGGAGGGAGGTTCCGAGCATATGACAGGAGGGGTGATCCTAGAAGACACCTACAGGCTAGGAAAAGCTTTTGAGTTTTGTTCTTGCTCTCATGTTACTCTTCGAGTTAATAGAGCAGCCCATTTTATGGCAAAAAATGCTCTTTCATAAAAAGTTCAACGATTAGTCTACTTTCGCCTGTGGATTGATTATGTTCTCTGACTATGTATCCGGACCTCCGTGGTGGAAGCTCTTGTCCTCAGAGGATCATCCACAGACTGAAATTGGATTCCTTTAGCTAGAATGACCTCCTTATGCGGTCCAAGAAGAACTATCCCGCCCGCCGAATGAGACCCAGTGAGAAGTTGGACGTAGACCCGAAGCCACACTTTCTGCGGGCAACCGTTCCTATTCCTCACATTGCTGATGGTATTGGCGAAACAATGCCGGAAACCCAAATTGCTTACTTTCAAAGACCACCCAATTCCTAGATTTCCAAATCCACCAAAGGATAGCCACCACCGATAAGATCACAGAAGGTTGATGAATTGGAGAGAACAACCGTTTGAGAAATAAGGGGAATGTGTGACGCGGTAACCCTTGTCCAAGATGTTCCAATCTCGCATAGTCCCATATGGTCCGAGCCACTGGACAGTCCAGAAACAGATGCTCCTTTGTTTCTGCTCCTCCCCAGCAAACTGGATATCAAGGATGAACAGGCACATGTTTTTCAAGTAACCCCTCGGTCGTGGGGAGGATACGGTGGAAGATCTGCTAAAGAAACACTTTCAACTTGGGAGGAATATCAGCATCCCAAAGCCAAATCCAACTAGATCTATCCATCCAACTGACCATTGACCTCCAGCAGCCCTGTCTCTTATCTAGATCGACATCTATATGGTAGGCTGATTTCACAGTGAACACGCCATCCGTCGTACCATGCCAAATAAGTTTGTCCTCCATAGACTGCCTCGGCAGAGGAATAGATTGAATCATACGGCAGGTAGATGGGTCAAACCATTGGCTGAGTTTTCGAATATACCAGCCTCCCCCATTTTGGTCAATCACATCCGCCACTCGTGGATCACCTCCCTCTGGGAGCACCTGAGGATTAAACACCGGTAGGTCAGGATGCAGGCGAGGGATCCAATTCGAGAAAAGCAGTGATGCCGATTGCCCATCCCCAATTTGCCAGCGCAAGCCCTTATCAAGCAGTTGCCTTCCAAACAGAACACCTTGCCACCCCCAGGAAGGACGCGAGCGTGCTTGAGCCTGAAGGAAAGTCCCGTTTGGGAAATACTTCCCTTTGTATACTTGGGCTAACAGGGACTGGGGCTACTGGAGGATCCGCCGTCCAATTTTAGCCAGTAAAGCCTGATTAAAATGTTCAAAACGAGGGAAACCCATTCCCCCCACATGTTTACTTCGACACATATTACGCCATGACAGCCAATGGATTCGGGATTGGTCATTCGTCACTCTCCACCAAAATCGGGCCACATGTTTATCTAGAAGCCGAAAAGAAAAGGAAGGAGAAAATTTGTGGCCAGTTTATTTCTGATGCGGGAAGCCTTATTACAAAACTGAACAAAGAAGGCCTCGGGAAAACGGTTACAGAGGAAAATATTTAAAATAAAAATTCTGATGACCGAGAGTTGCGGAGAATGCTTGAGGGCTGACGTGGAGGGCCTCTTTTTATCAAACCCCTTTTAATATATTGTAAGACTTAATGATGAAACCATTAAGGCCCATTAAGAGTTTTAAGTGCACTTGTAGTAACCAATCATAATTATTTATCATCATGTCTAATAATGACCAACGACTTAGGCGAAACCGTTCACCGGAGGCCATATCGACCACCGCCAGCCTTCTCCCACCAAACCACCACCAACGCCATCAATGGACACACATAGAATCACCGGTAAAGCCAATCCAGCAAGATGATACAAACAGAAATTAACACACTGCTGATTGTAGCACACGACATCAAAACAAATATGGGCTCGATTCGTTATTATCATTATTGTCAGAGGTGTCAATCAATCCACCGTAATCCGTCAGGAATTCACATTCACCAAACATTTCTAATACGGCGAACAATGCTATAGCTCCAATATAGACACCATATATCTTGAAGGAAATCGAGAAAAAGAAGCTCATGAATTCGATGGCCGCGGGATGGACAGATCCGTTTGAGTGAATTCCAGTAAGATTCAGAATCAGGGAGATGGCCGTAACATTCTCCTCCTTCGACGCCGACGCCAGGCCGAATTCCAGAGGAGGGCTACTTTTCTTTATCAATGGAACTTAACTGAGTTTATATCTCCACCGGTGGGAGGTTTCCGACAATAGCGTCGTTTTCAGCCAAATCCTGGCTGTTAAATGGTAGCTAAGAGCTACGGTCAGCTTGCTAGTATCGATCGGGAAGGAAATCGATGCTTGTGAGCACTTATCATAAGAGATTACACCTCTTTCCCCAAATGCTCGCCCTGTTTCCCCCTCCGTAGATATGCTTGGCTGCTGGCTAGAGGTGGCAATTGGATCGGATTCGTGGATTCGTAGATTGGATTGGTGGATCAATGTATCAAATGGATTGGATCCAATGGATTGGTGGATTCATGGATTGGATCAAATGGATTGGTGGATTGATCCATGAATCCAAATGACAACCAAGGCTTGGACCAAAATGTAAATTTTGAAAAGTTTAGGTACTAAAAATGTCACGATAAAAAATTTTAGGTACCAAAATATAATTTTCCAATGTTATTATTCGTATAAAAATAATAATTTTAGGTACCAAAATGTAAAGCATAAAAAATATAGGTACCAAATCGTAATTTGCCATTTGGATCCATGGATTGATCAATGAATCCACCAGTCCAATTGGATTTGGATAAAATGGATTGGATTTAAATGGATTGGATTAGGTGGATAATTTGGTGGATGAATTGGATTGGATTCATGGATTTGGATCCTAATTGCCACCTCTACTGCTGGCCAAGTTCTTCCGGCAACGCCGAATCCGAGAGGTGAGGGAAGAGAAAGCGTTTCCCAGCTCCGTAGCTCTCCGAATCCTTTCCTTTCCTTCACGAGGGATTGGGATTTGCAATTTCGCATATAGATCTTTCTTCTTCCCATCCTATGAAAGCTTCTCCTCGAGACAACTAAGCTCCGGCCACAGCCGCGGCCATGGACAACGGAAAGAAGCTTGTCTTCCGAACGAAAGCGGAGAGGGAGAAGTTTCGCCAACAGGAAAACGAGATGCAGAAGAACCGCCAGGAACAGCTTCTCGCCCATGCGAACAACCTGAAGCTCGTCTCTGCCGACTCCGACCGCCGCGATCGAGATCGAGACAGAGACCGCGAAAGAGATCGAGACCAAGACGGCGATCGAGAGCGGTATGTGGACAGAGACATGGAAAGAGAAAGGGAGCGCCCGAGGGATAGGAGAACCTAAGAATTTTCTAATAATTTATAGTTTGCATCCCAATATTTAATGGATGTTAAAAGTAATTTGCATGCCGATATCCAATATCTAATGGATATTGCACAACACAATAGTAGTCAAAACTATTCTTTATTCTCTACCTTTTGAAATATATGGTCAGACTGTAGTGCAGTTCGAAAATATGATAAATATTCGATACTATAAGAAACAAAAAAATATTCATGTAAAAGTAGAATGCGGGTCATGCGGGTGACCCACAATCCACCTACCACCCACCCACATAAGTGCAGGTGAGAAATTTATTAATCCGCAATCCACCCACATCAGTCATCCATAACGTAAAAATCGGGTTATTTGCGGGTGGATCGATATCAATATACAGATTAACCACCCATGTGCCCATCTCTAGTAGTAAGTGATCAACCACAAACCAGTATAGTTGTTTGAGCTTGACCGATTTCAATAGGTTTGATTGGCCCTAATTTTGACATACTAGTTTCCTAGAGCCTGGTGGGGAGGTCGAGTCCAGTCAGGCCCAATTCGAACACCCGGATGACGACGAGGCTAACAACCATGGTCCATGACCATATAGTTTCTAGTATGTTTGTGTTGAGCTCTTATTGCACTCGTATCGTATTGGTGCTTATTTGTAATTGGCTTATATGCTTTACCATTTTCTTTTATATTTTTGTCATTAACTCTTTTAAAATAACTCATCTCAAAATCTTTATGTTTGAACCTAACTGAGTGTAGGAGTGAGGTTCACTAGAATGGGTCGAGAAGAATGGACGGCTTGGTTGAACAAGAACTTTGAGACAAATGAGAGGGAAGATAGAGTTGAGAGAGAGTGTGTATTTAGTGAGAGAAAGTGATGATCTTAGAGATAGAGTCTGAAAAATCCGATCCCCTCACCCACCGGAGTAAATGCCATATTTATAGGCTACATGGTGGTGGGTGAGTTACATGACGGTACGATGACGTGACCACTACGGCAAGGTGACATGACCTCTGACATGCCAGGGACCAAGACCATATCCCTAGGGGTGACAAGACCCTTAGCCATGACTATACCTAGGACTATGATGTTGACTACCCTAGGACTATGATGTTGACTACCCTTCGGGTGACGCGGCGCCGCTACTACACTTCTCGGTGAGGGCCCGCGCTTGCCCAAAGTGCCGTCGTTTGGCGTTTATGCGCGGTCTTTCAGGGCCCTTCTCTGCACTCGGGCTTTCACCTGGCGCGACTCGCGCGTTGGCTTTGACGTGAACATCCTTAGGTATTTCTTCGGCGTGTTGAGATCCGAGTCACATCCCCAACAATTGCCCCCCATCAGGGGGTATTCCGCGAATGCCGCCTGTTTGATCTTCATGCGAGCGTCTCGGATCTGCGCGATTCCGTCTGTTGATTATGATTGACGCGACATGGGTAAGCTAGTGTTTGCTCTGGTCTTCGCGTGATCGTCGGTGGCGCGTACAACTGGTGTTTCCTTCGCCCGATTCCCATTCGTCCGAGATCTCCGGGATTGGTTGTGCGCGACATCTTCGCGTTGCCCCCCATCGGTTGTGTTCCGCGAGTGTCCGAGATCTCCTGGGGTGGTTGCGGGTGAAGCCTCTGGTTTCGCGTTGCCCCCCAGTGGTAATGTTCCGCGAGTTTCCTGGGTTGGTTGTGCGTGACGCTTTCCTAGTTGTATTATTTTTTAGCGTGTTTTTTTTCCTTTGTGGGCGTATCCTGCCCCCCAGGCGCTGTGCGGAAGCTATGACGTCAGCGGCTAGTGCCTAGGGATGGTAGGTTGCCACGTGTCCGTGTACGGTTGGTCGGTTTTGGCGGCCGTTTTGAAATTTGAAAAGGCTCTGACGGTTGCGATTCTCGAGGCAACTTTAACCCTTCAGCTTTCCATTGTCGAGTATAAATACCCCCTCTCTGCCCAGAAGTCGTAACTCTCTTTGCTTTCGTAAAAGGAAAATTTCGTTTGTTTCTTTGTGCTTTCTTGCCGTCTCTGAGATTCCTCTCCTTCTTCTACAACCTCGATTCTCATCTTGCTGTTGCTGATTCGAAGTATTGTAATGGATAGCACCAACATTCACGAGACCGAGGTCGTGCAGGGCGAAGAAGGTAATCCCTCTTCTTTTTCACGTGTTTCTACCGATCCTTCGCTGGATCTGGATGATTCTGGGCATGGGGACGGCGGCGGAGCCGATGGTGGTGATGTAGTTTTGGCGGCGTCGCTGTCGCTCGACGTCGATGATGACTGGGAACCCGACGAGGGGATCATTGCGTCTGGGAGTGGCCAGGCTAGCGCCGGTGCGCGGGGGGTATTGATTGTCCGGCGGCCTCGCGGCGGTGCATCTGGGGTGGCTGACTAGGAGAGGCGCGAAGGGTCTGACACTCAGTCAGAACCGCGATGCACCGCGCGTATCACGGAAGCGATGAGCCGCTTGGGCTTCCGAGGTGTGGGCGCGGCTTATACCGTGATTGACTGGGCGGAGATGTGGGGCGATCAGCGCGAGCCCAGTGATAATCTTCTTAGGGGACCTGATCACGCGTCCATTTACGGGTACCAGGACGTGCTGAACATAGTGCGTGGGTTAGGCTTGCCCCCCCATTGGGAGTACGCGGTCCCGTCCGCGCGAAGTATGGTTGGGAACTGTCCCGCGGGATGGTTTGGGGTGTATACTGAGTACTGGGTGATGGGGTTCAAGTTCCCCATCGACCCTTTTCTATGCGCCCTGTACCGGCGTCTCAATTGTTCAGTTGGGCGCCTCTCTCCTTCGGTGATAATGCACGCGAGCTGCCTCCGTCTCGCGTGCAAGAGGCTTAAGATTGAGCTGACTTACGGCTTATTCCGTAAGTTTTATAAGATCAAGGATCCCACGAGGAGGAGCGACTGGCTTTCTATCAAGCGGCGCGACAAGAGACCTGAGGGTTTCGTGTATGGGTCTCCCAAGTTGAAAAAGACTTGGTTTGAGCGCATCTTTTATGTTAAACCGGCCCCCGGGGAGTGGGCGAGTGAATTTATGGCGGAGCCGACCGAGTGGAAGAAGGGCGGCACGCATGGGTATGAGTCGGACCTGGGGCATTACGCTGAGCTCGATGATGAATACAAAGCGTGCATGCATCAGAAGTTCAACTTATACAATGGCGGAGTCCGCGAAGCTTGTTTAGAAGAACTTTTTGCCGATGGTTAGTTGTGCTTCTTTCATTTTGCATTCTATCTTATTAACCGCCCTCTTACGGCTTATTGGCGCAGGTGTTGATTTTTCCAGCTTGGCCAGTATGATGTCAGTTGATGACATTGTGAAGGCACCTCGCGCTGGGAAGAGGAAGGGGAAAGAGGCCGCACGGCCCAAGAGTGCGAAGAGGAAAGAGGTTGAGCAGCCCGTGGTTGCAGAGAAACCTGCGAAGGCTGCTCGCGTTGTGGAGCCATCTGGGCGGACACCGAGACAACAACCGCTTGTAATTGTTGAGCCAACGGCCCCAGTGGATAGGAGCGCTCGGCCGGAAAGTAGCGCGGCTGGTGGTTCATCTAGGGCTACAATTCAGCAGAAATTGCCCCAGAGGTGGCGCCATTGACTACTTCTGCGATCTGCGGATCCACACGGGCGCGGCATGTAATGTTGCGGCCGCGAACAATGCCCTCCGGGCGCTGGGACCCCTTCTGAGTGTCCCGTCGCGACTGGAGAAGTCAGATCCGCTTCAGGACCTTGCGCAAGTGCACTTCGCGGTAAGATTGGCGTAGTTGCAGGAGTTGCCCCTCTTCTCTTCTTTTTATTTGTACTAAGTCCTGTGGCGTTGTGGGTACAGGGTTTGCTGGCGACCTTCCGCGCTCAACTGGAGCGGAGCCGGGAGCGTGCGAAGATGAAGGCTGAGGAATCGAGGATTGTGCAGCTTGAAGGTAAGCTGACTGGAGCTGAGGGTCGCGCTGAGTTGGCTACCAACAAGGCCAACGAGGCTTTAGAGCAGTTGGGCGTTTTGCAGAGCCGGCTGGAAGAGCAATTGGAGGCAGTGCGGACTCGGGTCCGAGGGGAGTTGCGGGAGGAGTTTGAGGGGGAAGAGAAACGTTTGGCGGAGGAGCGGGAGCGGGAGAAGAGCCAATTAGAGAAGGATCATGTTGAAAAGATGAAGCAGGCTCGGGAGGATTTTGAGAAGGAGAAGAGGGATTTGGTTCGACTTCACGATGTGGCCAAATCGGAAGCTGTGCGTGAAGCGCAGGTCGCGGCGATTCGCCAGTACAAATCTTCACCTTCCTTTGGGAAGATACTGGCGGATGCGATGACCAAAGCGGTCATCGCAGTTGGCAAGAAGGTGCGGCCGGAGGTTCCGAGCTACCGGTGGAACAGTCGCAGTATGGTGCAGCATGTGCAATTTTGGCTGCGTGAGAAGAAATCACTGGATGAGGAAGAAGATGATGAGGAGGGGGAGGAGGGGGAAGAAGGGGATGAGGAGGATGACGGCGGTGAGGCGCATAAGGAAGCTACCGCTGCAGCGGAGGATAAGGGAGATTCAGGCGCGACAGCGGATGTGGATGTGGCCGTCACTACCGCTGATACTACCGCTGAGAAGTCCTCCTCGTAGGTTTTAAGTGTAGAAGCGCTGTTTTGCGCTTGTTTTGTTGTTGTTTGTTTTTTTTTGTTGCTCCCGCGTATGGAAATCCAAAGTGCTTCTATTTTGTTCATGTGTTGGCCCGCATAACTTTTGGGTACTGCCCTTTTAGCGTGAGTGACCGTGGCGCGAATGACTCGTAGTCATTGCTAGATTTTGTTCTTTCGAACTAAGAGGGGCGCGAATAACTCGTAGTTATTGCTATTTTTGTTCTTTCGAACTGTAAGGGCGCAGATAACTCGTAGTTACTGCTATTTTTTGTTCTTTCGAACTATGAAGGCGCAGATAACTCGTAGTTATTGCTATTTTTTGTTCTTTCGAACTGTGAAGGCGCGAATAACTTTTAGTTATTGCTAGTTTTTGTTCTTTCGAACTAAAAGGGGCGCGAATAACTCGTAGTTATTGCTATTTTTTGTTCTTTCGAACTGTGAAGGCGCGAATAACTCTTGGTTATTGCTATTGTTTGTTCTTTCGAACTGTGAAAGCGCAAGTAACTGGGAAGCCAATATTATTACTGATTTCTTGTGGCCGTGCACAAATGTTATATTAACTTGAGCTATGATACTTCCTGAGATTCTGCGCGTTCCATGTTCTTGGAATTTTGTTGCCCCCCAATTCGC